ACCCTCAACTTCACATCATTCTCCTGGAAGAAAGCAACATTGATGAGGGCTGCAAATGTCCGTGGTGCGACTGGGGCTGCCACTCGGAGCTTCAAAGGATCCCTTGCCCTGCGTTCTCGGCCCACACCAGGAGGGCCGGTTGCCCGCTCTACTGTTTTCAGGTGGCTGCGTCGCCCTGCCCATCTTGTGTTCACCTGTGATTTGCCACCTGAGCTGTGACCTGCCCGATAGATCTTGCACACCCAACCCGCTTATTTAACTGTGTTACCTGGTGATGGGCTCTGTGTTTTTTTGCATGTTTGGTTAAGTATTGCGTGTCAAACTGTTGGTGCCTTTCCTTAACTTGTTAGAACTTTTGTGTCTGTACATCAAAGACTCATGAAAGATTTTTTACTTGCTAAATACAACCGCGATTGAGCCTAGCCTTTTTATTGAGCCTGATAGATAAATGTTATTCGAGAAAAGAAAAAATACGATTTCAAGAAATCCTAGGAGTCACGAAGTCAATTTGATTATTGTGTAAGAGTGTGGAGAAAGAAAAGAAGTGGTGTTGTGAAGTTGTGGCTCAGGGGACTACCAATGGCAGTGGTACCAATGTGGTCGATGTGCCATCCGTCGAAATTTAAACTTGACAATAAATAGAAATCAAAATGCTGGTAAATTCAAAAAATTCCAATGCTAATGTATTCCGCAGTGTTCTGACAATGGAACATCTTTGAAGTCCATCATGATTAAAATGTTCTTAGCAGAAAGAAGTCAGTAAATTAATTTTCTCGGGTTGGCAACTATTTTCTCGGCGTCTGCGCCCTTGCGAAAATCGCGAAGCTGAAAGCGCCAGCAGTCGCGCATTAAAACTGCCCCTCCATTGTTGTGGACGTTGAATTGTTTGGCTTGTTTCAAAAGGCTATGGTTCTCTAGTCATGTTTTCTTCAATTCTGTGTAATAGTTCTCCCTTACAACGTATCAACACCACGACGGTTGGTTTGACAAACTTCATAAACTCGGGAGGGATGGTTTCGAAACGCGGGTGAGTCTTGTTCGAGGAACATGAGCACTGCAAGTCGCGAGGTGGAGCGAAGTGGTCCTAGTGCTAACTGAATCACAACAACAACACTGCGCATGTCCAAAAACACTCCAATCAAGAAGTATTATTGGATAGTTCTACCCGAAAAACTGCGTTCGAACCGGCACCAATTCTATTGTTGCATCTTGTCTACCTGCAGTCAAAGAAATTTTTCATTTCGAACGTTGCTTTTTCAGCTTTTGGAGTAAGCTGTACAGACCCAAAAAGAAGCTCCGCTATGAGCTAATTTATTTAATACGTGCAACGCCTTCCCATGACCCCCTCCGATTTTGACCAAAAATTTTTTCTGAGATGCCCTTATGGTAAGAAAAAACATCCTAAAATATTAGGTCGCTAAAAAATTTATTGGCCGAGAAAACCAATGTTTTCTAAATTTGCCACTTTTTTTACCTAATTTGGGAGTTTCTTTCTTACTTTGAGGTTTTTGGTGCTAAGTGGCTGAAAATCAGTATTTTTAGGTAAAATTGCCCAAGGAACAAGATTATGGTCACAGATTTGATCTACGACCGATATCTTCAGAAATACTTGCCCAAAACGACCAAATTTTACTGAAAATACCCAAATTTTGGGGAAACGGTCAAAAATATTTTTTATCCACGATCCGTTGACGCCATGTTGTAGAAAAAGAGCTAATGAAGCTAATGAGCACACGCCCAGGTTCGTAGCTCAAACCGTTTAGAAGCTGTAAGGCGTCAAAGTTGGAGGTTTTTTGAGGGGGCCTGAAAACCGGCACTTTTGACCTCTGCGCTAGGGTGGATCGAAAATCTCAGAATTAAGCGGCGTATGGTTTTGTTTGCAATTGACCATATTAGAAAAGAGATCCCACAATGCTGGGGTCTGGTGTTGTCACCTTCCATCTCTTTGGAGGCTCCAAACTTGGGTGAAAAATGGCACTTTTGGCCCTACAGGGACCAAACCATGGATCGCCCAGGATGCGGCTATCTCGCGATGGGTGCGGAATAGGTTCCTTTATTTTCCTGCAAAGTCTGGGCGATGTGGCTCAACATCTTGGTTAAGCCCGGGCACTTGTTTTAACGCCAAAACAAAGTTGGAAAACACTAAAAATTGGATTTAAGGGTCTTTTGTTTTCTTAGAGGTCCCATATACTTATATGAATGGGGAGAGCTCAAAAAATGCAATTTTTTGGTATATATAACTTTGTGATCGGACGAAAATTGTTGCCAGGGCGAAACTTTGCACATTTCAGCAAAAGCTCAAAAACACTAAAAAGTGATCTTCAGGAGAATATGTATTGCCTGTGAATCCAATATGATCATACTGTTCGAAAGATCTAAAAAAATGCAAAATTTTGGTATATAAAGTTTCGTGATTGGACAAAAACTCGATTTGTTGTTAATTATAGAAGAAAGTGTAAACGTTCGTCGGGCCATCTCTTGCCTAACAAGGGCTTTGCTTCGCTTTGCTTGTTAATTATTTTGCGACTATTGGAGTTTTTGTCCAATCACAAAACTTTATATACCAAAATTTTACATTTTTTTAGATCTTTTGAACAGTATAATCATATTGGATCCACAGGCAATACATATTCTCCTAAAGATCACTTTTTAGTGTTTTTGAGCTTTCGCTGAAATGTGTAAAGTTTCACCCTGGCAACAATTTTCGTCCGATCACAAAGTTATATATACCAAAAAAATGCATTTTTTGCGCCCTTTCCATGCATATAAGTATATGGGACCTTTGAGCAAACAATAGGCCCGTAAGTCCAATTTTTAGTGTTTTGCAACTTTGTTTTAGCGTTAAAACAAGTGCCCGGGCTTAACTAAGATGTTGAGCCACATCGCCCAGACTTTGCAGGAATATAAAGGAATCTATTCCGCACCCATCGCGAGATAGCCGCATCCTGGGCGATTCATGGTTTGGTCCCTGTAGGGCCAAAAGTGCCATTTTTCACTATTAGACCCAAGTTTGGAGCCTCCAAAGAGATGGAAGGTGACGTCACCAGACCCCAGCATTGTGGGATCTCTTTTCTAATATGGTCACCTGCAAAGAAGCCCATACGCCGTTTAATTCTGGGATTTTCGACCCACCCTACTCTGCGCTCAATGTCCGGCACCCGAGCCGTACCAGCCATGATCCTTGCTTTCGAGGTGAGGTCTGCGTGCGCAATGGGAGTCAAGAAGAGGGTGAAGCGGCACAGCGTTTCTGAACAGGGTCCTCTTTAGAGCGCCTGAACAGCCGAGGGTTGGTAAGCTCACCAAACGGCGCTTGGAAAGCACTTGCTGCACCGTGGGCTCGCTCAAGGCCACGAACAATGCTATTCGGTGTAAGTCTCAACCTGTCGCCCTCGACAAGCTTCGGATTCTGTTGGCTGCCCCTTCCTTCTCTCTCTTTCCCACATGGTCCAAAGCCGTTGCCCCGACCCCTCAACCTGCCCCCAATACCGGATATATTTTGTGTTGTTTCAGATGAATTTCAAGCTTTTTGTCGGAAGCTGTCGCCCTTTGGTAAGCTCGCCCCTGACCCCTCAGGGTTGGGAAAGCGAGAAAACCGCCGGGGAAACGCTGACAGATTCCGAAGAACTTCCTAAGCTTACCAAAGGGCGACAGCTTCCGACAAAAAGCTTGAAATTCATCTGAAACAACACAAAATATATCCGGTATTGGGGGCAGGTTGAGGGGTCGGGGCAACGGCTTTGGACCATGTGGGAAAGAGAGAGAAGGAAGGGGCAGCCAACAGAATCCGAAGCTTGTCGAGGGCGACAGGTTGAGACTTACACCGAATAGCATTGTTCGTGGCCTTGAGCGAGCCCACGGTGCAGCAAGTGCTTTCCAAGCGCCGTTTGGTGAGCTTACCAACCCTCGGCTGTTCAGGCGCTCTAAAGAGGACCCTGTTCAGAAACGCTGTGCCGCTTCACCCTCTTCTTGACTCCCATTGCGCACGCAGACCTCACCTCGAAAGCAAGGATCATGGCTGGTACGGCTCGGGTGCCGGACATTGAGCGCAGAGGTCAAAAGTGCCGGTTTTCAGGCCCCCTCAAAAAACCTCCAACTTTGACGCCTTACAGCTTCTAAACGGTTTGAGCTACGAACCTGGGCGTGTGCTCATTAGCTTTATTAGCTCTTTTTCTACAACATGGCGTCAACGGATCGTGGATAAAAAATATTTTTGACCGTTTCCCCAAAATTTGGGTATTTTCAGTAAAATTTGGTCGTTTTGGGTAAGTATTTCTGAAGATATCGGTCGTAGATCAAATCTGTGACCATATTCTTGTTCCTTGGGCAATTTTACATAAGAATTCTGATTTTCAGCCACTTAGCACCAAAAACCTCAAAGTAGTAAAGAAACTCCCAAATTAGGTAAAAAAAAGTGGCAAATTTAGAAAACATTGGTTTTCTCGGCTAATAAATTTTTTAGCGACCTAATATTTTAGGATGTTTTTTCTTACCATAAGGGCATCTCAGAAAAAAATTTTGGTCAAAATCGGAGGGGGTCATGGGAAGGCGTTGCACGTATTAAATAAATTAGCTCTATTGGTCCGCCCCGGCTCGGCTCCCCCCACTCCCTTTTTTTTCCTTTGACGAGTCGAGTTTTGCCATGGAAACGGCGATTTTGACAGCAAATTTCTCAAAATTGGCCACCAAATTTTTGACCAGATTTCAACATCAGAATCAGCGTTCAAAGTTCTACTAGTCTGCAAAATCTCGTTAAAATCGTATAGAAAACTTCCGAAATGCATAAAGGGCCACACAAATCAAATCTCGAGCCGGCTGAGTCCTGGGTATACTATAAGGCTACTTCGTGCCTAAAAACTGAATCATATGAGATGGTCCAAGCAAAAGTGATCATGTGTTTGAACAGCTGTGGAAGGCCGCTATAGACGCAGTTTCAATTATCTTACATTTAAAATTTGAAATGTGGGCGAGGAAAGTCAACAAATTAAAATATAACCAATAGGTCACCGTTGTTTTTTTTTATTAGCATAAGAGATATGATCCACATATAATAAACAAAATATCCATTATCATTCAATACCGAGCCTCAGAATCAGTCAAAATAAGGTGTGAACAGGCTACGGACAACCAGCATTTCTGCTAAGGATAATCTACCTAAAGTCACTCATGTCGGTATTTTGGTTTTGATTTCAGAAATGTTGTTCACATAAATCGAGGCAGTCTACCTAACCAGAAACTAAAACCCCCTATAGGTACTCAGTAAAATACTACAACATGAAAACTATTTATCCATTTCATGGCAATGACCTGCTTTGAAATGTACATGTCCAAAACATTCATATATTGAAAGTAACTAAGTATCATAAAACAAGAGATAAGCCAATCTCAAAAGAAAAAATAAAACACAGACTGTCCTGTCCAAACTGTTACGTGAACACTCCATTTGTGTTCTCTAAAATACAACAATAGGAACTGAATCCATGACAGGCAGTGACCGCCTTAAACCATAACGAATGAATAAAAACTATTACAATACTGTAAAGCAAAGTCACTGATATATAGATAGAACTAAAAAAGTCCGCTCAAGCAAACATATAAACCGTTCAAAGATATGCATAAGATATGACAGTACGAACAGACTCTTTCCATTTCATAGCAATAACTCAATTTGAAATGTACACGTCACAATGATAATCGATTACAAAGCGAACAAAATACAATTAGAGGGAAAGATTATTAAATCACTTCAAAAGAAAATGTGACTTTAGACAGGAAACACATTGCACGAAACCCCTAAGTAACACATTGCAGCGAATTTTCTCTATAAAATATGACTTTGGACTTATGTAACACACGACAGGAAACATTACAAAAATTAATGTGAGTATGAAACACATTACAGGGGACATTCTAAAAAAAACCAATGTGAGTTCAGACCTGAACAACACATTACAAGAAACCCTAAACAAGAGTGAGTTCTGGCCAATAACAACACATTACAAGAAACCCTAAAAAAGAGTGAGTTCTGGCCAATGGCGCCCCTACGTACGTACAGGAAACACTCTTATCAGTCCGAGCGTGCTTCCGCCGCGGCGGCCGCGGCAACCACCCGCGCCTGAGCGCGCTCCACCTGTTGGAGCAGAGACTCCAGATGAGCCCGCTCCTGCTCCACGGCCGTTTGCGCGTCCAGCAGACGGTGCCCCTCGAGGCACGCGTCCGTCACGTGGGCCCAGCAGTCCGTACACCAGTCCGCCGTGGACGATTCGCCGCGTGCAGGTGGACCAACTGTCAACAACAAAAACATCCAATAATGACAGACTCGCACGTGGACACCGCGTGTGTACTCTGCGGACGCGACGAAGAGGGAACGTGACATCACGATGAAACGAATGAGACCAATGACACGCACTCTAAATGTCTTACATTGATATTTGACTTATGTTATTCGTATGTTACAGTAAATTCGGCGCAAGCATAATACGAAGCAATATTTCTTCGTAAATGCGAATCTTTTTAGCTCTTTCGTTGAGAGATACAAAGAAAAACCTTCGTAATACGTAGAAAACCAACCTTCGTATTATGCTTGCGCCAATTCCTTCGTAAGACATTTAGAGTGCGTTCCTTTGAGCATTGTGTTAAATTCATGTGAATCAACCATAAACGAGCTTATTCACATTCGAACGAGACTGACACAATGCTCAAGAGAAAGTTGTAATTTGGCACATTCTTTCAAACGTGATGCCCTGTTCATGGGAATGAGAGTTGAGTGTGAGTGGCACACTGTTTAAAATTTGAGCCTGGCAGCACAGAGTTTCAAACTGTGCCCCTGCGGTCACACTGTTCAAGACAGTTGGGCTTGAGGCACTTTCAGTGGTTTGGATAAAATGAACCATGCTCGACGAATCTTGAGCACACGCGCAGATTATGAGGACAGCCTTAGAAGTCTGTCTTCATCGGCAAAAAACTTAACGGGTCGCCACCGCACACCTTCGCACTCAAATGAACTTTTTAGTCTCTTGCATATGACGTTCTAAGCAGGGTTGGCAACCAATAACGAAATTCATTTCCAAATTTTCGCTGTATCTGGCTGTATCTCTGGAACATGTGGCCTACATAGGTCCTTCTTTCCTTGTTAAGTAGATCAGTCCTTTTCCGTAATTAGATGTTCTCTGCCTCTTTCATGCATGTGGACTCCTTCACCACTTTTTTTTTCAATTTTATCATGATTGTAAGAACGTTATTGAAATTTTGACAGTTCAGTTGAAAAATGTACAAAATAAACGACAATAAGGAGTCAAAGTCTGTAGGAAAGCCTTAAAATAACGATTGTTGGAATCTGATCCGTCAAAGGTTGAAAACAAGACTCAGATCGGACAGCCGTTAGGAGATATTCGAGAAAGTGAGAAAATGAATTTCGTTTATGATAGCCAACCCTGGTTATAAGAGCAGGCCGTATTATGGTTTACAAGGTAGGTTTACGCCAGACCGCGTCTTGTCGTAACAGGCTTCGCGATGTCTCGCTGCCTGTTCCTCCAATCCGCGTCTTGCGTACCTACCTTGGCCTGCGGCGCTAGCCTTCCTTCGGCAGGCCATGGCTTGCCCATCGTCGGTTACTTCGAAATTGTTGCATGCTGGGGGGCTCCGCCCCGCAGCCCGCAGACCCCCCTTCATTCCAGATAGAGTTGCTTCATCCACAGATAACACGATCTCTACCCTTGTTACTTTTCAACTAGCCGGGGCTGGAGGGCTCTGCCCCCTGACCCTCCTTTCTTCAAGGCAGAAGGCATTTGCCGGCAGAAAACTCGATTTTTCGCCGTTTTTTAAGTGTTTTTCGGCTTTAAAAACTGAACCAGTTGAGCTAGGATAGAGAAATTTCGCGTGTGCCGAGCCAAGGACATACCCAAAAAGTGTGCAAAATCTCAGCCAGATCGGCCGAGCCGTTCAGGAGTAGTAGTGCTGACAGACAGACAGACAGACACACACACACTGTTAAAAAAAAATTCTGAAAATTCAGACTAAATGAACTGAAGAAAATTTCGCAAAAGGCACTCCTAATTTTCAGACCAACTTTTTCAGAAACATGCGGTCTGAAAATTCAGACCTGTGAATTCAGACCACAAGTCTGAATATGGATTAAGACCTCTAGTCTGAATTGGTATTAAGACCGCTGGACTCAGAAATTTAGGAATTTGCTGAGCTTAAAATTGAGATGTCTTATTTCTTAAAAAAGGGCTTCCTGGTCTGAATTTGCTTTCAGCAGTTCACTCCCATACCCCTCGCCTCCCTCTTTGTGCGCAGTGCGGGCAAGGTAATATATGAAAGTTGATCCAACCAATGCTTTAAGAAGGATGAAAATTGCTGTGGCTAGTCAAAGTCAATTTTGTAACCTTAAGGATACTGTCAAGTGAAACTGGCATGTCCTAGAAATACTTGTCACAGGAAGTTCATTTTGAGGTCAAAATTCCACCACTACTAGATAAATTTATTCTCAAAGTTGGGGACTCCAACTCTAATTAGTTTCTGAGTTACGGAGGTTTACGTAAACTTTTAGTCGTTTCCTCCAAATTCTTCTCACGACAAAGGATTACCTACCCAGCCTTCAGATTCTGGCAATTATATCTATTTTTGCATATGAAAAAGAAAGCGTTGTCAAATTTGAAAATACAAGTCCAGAAGAGGCTGTATTAGCTTTTAAAAAGCTAACTTATCAGGCCCACTTTTATTTTTCTTCAAATTTAAAAGACTTTGCCTTATTATTGGTTTATGGTGTTTCAGGAAAACTAAGGGAGATATTTTTTAAAAAAGCTATCTATTTCCTTTGCAAAAATAGATATAATTACAATAATATGAAGACTGGGTAGCTAATCCTTTGTCGTGAGGAAAATTTGAGAGAAACGACTAAAAGTTAACGTAAACATCCATAACTCAGAAACTAAAATAAGGTGGTGTACAACTCTTAGTGCATGAGTTAATGCAATGGAAAGGAACTTTTATCCAGGAATTGAGATATGTGGACAAATATTTAGAAAAAAAACTTAGAAAGTCACTTTGGTCACTTGAGTCATCATAACCATAAATTTCTTTGCTTATCATCGCAAAATCAACTCAAACCTTGGTTGTAACAATTAACTCACTGTGGCAAGCACACGATCCAACACGCACCGGTGCACACGAAGTGAACGTATCAGATTCGTCCAACCAGAAGTTTGAACTAATATCCGATGAAGGCACTTTGGGGACGAGTGTGAACGGGGAGAGGCGAATAACTTAGAACACCTCTCGCCCTCTCACCGCCCGCCCCTTCAGTTTCGGGAGATGCGTACAGCGAGCGCAGAGTCACTACAGCGTCAAGAAGGGTCATCAGCAGAAAACACTTCGAACTAAAATGCACTTCTTTCCGTCGACATGACTTCAGCGCGCCGAGCGAGTGGACCTGACGCAAAATACACGCGATGTGTGCACCTTGGAAGACTGCTGGAGACTGACGTTTTGCGTGCAGGGCGCCGGGTCGGCCAAAACATTCCGAGTTGCCGACGGATTAGCGCTCCCCTCCTTGCCGAGCCAATCAGAGGGCGCCTCCAGCCGGCCCTGCCTCGCCGGACTTTCCGAGAATTCGCTCCGCAAAGCAAAAGTGGCAGCTCTGGCGGACACTCTCGGAACTACGTCGGGCAGAGGGTACGGCTGGTCTCGGAGGTGCGTGGAGGGGGAGGCACGCACTGCTCGGACACTGCACCGTAGCGCACCGGAGACCAATGGACCCTTTATATCGTCCTCCTGGCTAAACGAAGTCTTTAAAGAAAAAAGACGTCGGGATAAAAATTGTAGAGCTTACCGCTACACTATAAACAAACCAAATCCGAATCCAATCGGACCAATAGCGACGTCTCTATGACAAAAAGTCTGTTTTTCAGAAAATCTGTTGGCTTCAGAAAACGGTTTGAGGTTTTCAAAATCAGTTTTCGGCACATGATAGTCCTCGACGAGCCTCACAATCGCCTCGCTTTGACCCCCCATAAATTTCGACTCCTTCCCCCTGAAAAACGCGATGCAAAATAACCAACTGCGCGCTGCCAAGAGTCCAAACGCTTTTACTAACACATTTCTGAAACAAATAATTGTTTCGGAACACGAAATAGTGCCTTTTTATCTTCAAGATTTTTCCTATGATATGGAAAAGACTGCAAGTCGATACGACTTCGGATAAGCCCTAAAAAAGGTGCCGAGTGCGAGGTGGTCGGTGTGCATTTTTGAAGTCCGGTCTAGCCTGGCGCCGGAATGCATGCGCAGAAGAGTGCGCAGAGCGCTGATCCCGGAGCTCTGCCAGAGAGGTTAGGATCTTCGAAGTTTAACGTTTTAATGTCATTTTAGCTCGATTTTTACAGTACCCCGCGTGGAGGTTGGTCTGTGTGGGAACATTGAATAACTAGGGCGAAAATTTACGAGTAATCTCACTCAAATGTAGCATACTGAGACATCGCAAGCACGGAGCCGAACCGGCGCGGACCAAGGCAGGTGACGAGTGACGAGGCCAAGACCCGCTTCACCCTGAGGCCGCGCGCGACGGTGCTGCCATCTAGCGGTAGCTTTGCGGGGCGAATGCACCGGCGGGGACAGTCCTGCGGCCGCTGCACTGGGCTCGGCTCGGTGCTCGGCCCTGCTCGGTGCCGAACGGACTCAGCCGAACAAGTCCGAGACAAACTAGATCGCTTTCGGGCGCTGGTCAAGGTGCTCCCAGAGCGCTATAAAGAGGGCTACTCTGGGTGCTACCTTCGGGGCAGTCCGATTAAAGCAGCGTATAGAGAGAGGGGGCGGGAGTCAGACGAGTCAGGCAGAAAATTAAGACCGGACGCTGAATTCTACTTTCAGACTCGCAGGGCAAATTATTAAACCTTGTTAAGTCTGATTTTTCAGACCGCCGCGTCTGAAATTTTTTTTCAGACTACAAGGTCCGTATTTTTAGACCTGCGGTCCAAATATTAGGACTCTAGTCTGAAAACGAAATTCAGACGGACAAGTCTGACACTTTCGGTCTGAATTTTCAGAATTTTTTTAACAGTGCACAGACAGACAGACAAAACTTTTCAACCCCACCTGAGTGGGGTTCGCTATCGCTCAGCCAATTATCTCTTGAACTATGCACACTTTAAATCGTTTTTCAGATAAAATTGTTAATAGATCACGTAGAGACTAAAAGGTACATTGCAAATGACAAAACGTAAGGATTAATGGACTAATTACCCTATATAATAAACAAAATCGTGCAATTCTGAAGAGAAAATAATGTATATTACCTTAGCACAAAAAACTTTCTGCCAAGTGATAAAAAGTCAAGTGAGAGTGCACTTCAACTGCTGCCACACTCCAAATCCAAAGTCGATACATGAGTATCTTTTTAGACGATAATTTAGTATCGCCAGAGCAAGAATACGAATGGTGCAAGCACACTCTGAGCCTTTTACTGACTATTTCTCATAAACAGATGCATTTCTAAATGCAACCATAAAACTTAGTTTTGTTTATCTGAATTACTTAAAAATTGCTGATTGCTGTTGTGGTTTATTGTTGTCTAAGGAAAGTACAAAGAAAATTTTAGGTATTTAGGGACGACACCTAGTATAATGGTTGCTTACCGAAATGCGCCTGCTAATGAGAAATAGTCAGTAAAAGGCTAGGAGTGCAATCACTTGCGCATGGTGTGGAGCGTTCAGGAATTCCGGGAAAACTCCGGGGATTTGGGCCGCCGGGAAAAATCCGGGGATTTCACTTTTGATCCGGGAAATTTTAAAAAGTCGGTCAGATAGGCCATGCGCGGGCCGAGGCGACCGGTAACGCAATGTGTGGCTGTGGCCGGACAACTGACTTGAGGGATGCTAGCGGCCCACTATTCTCACTTTTAAAACGAAACAGTGAATTTGCTCACTTTTTGGCCTCAAAAGTCACTATTCTCACTTTTTTGGCAGTTCGGGTCATAAAACTTCGTGACATTTTCAATTGAGCAAGTTTGGGGAAGTTAAAATGATTTGACTCGCTGAACTCGAAACTTACCATCACGGCTGGAAAGAGCTCCCCTGACTTCCTCCCGGTGTCGTTTGAACTTGTTAGCCAGATTCTTGACCTTGATCGGGTTGTTCACGGAATGATCGTCAATGAGAGTTCGCGCCAATTTCTGCCACACTGTGACGTCATCGATGGACCAGTCGTTGTCCTTAATGATGGCAGCCAGGTCCCTGGGCGTCCTGCCCAACTTCTTGGGTCGGCCTGCTCGACCACGGTTCACTGAAACAAAACATAAGAAACAAACGTCAGACACTTCCAGATGTGCGCGAACACATTCCAATCCGTATAGATAAAAAATCATAGGGCCTTCGTTACTAATTGATTTCGAATAAACATAGGAGAAAAACTATAGTTAAAAGAATTTACACGAGGAAGTTTCGACATGGAGACATCCGATTCGGTTGAAATAAACAAGATTCACTAGCAACTTCACACATCTCACACTTTTCACTCATGTTCGAAGGTTTTCGAATTCCTGAGACAAAATTTCCACTCCTAGGCTAGGACCGGCAAAAACCCCACTACCGTAACAAAATAAAGTAAAAATGCGTAAATCTGAAATCACCCCAAAAGTGAGGGGGAGGCCGGTGCCTTCCGTTTTGAGTTACCCCCACAAAAAACATGGGTGTCAAAACGGTGGAAGCGAAGTGCAATTCAACACAACTTGAGTTCGGGTCGGTAATAGAAGGTTTAGGGACACTCCACAAACTCATGTGTGTACATAGTACACTCCACTTGGCGCGTACATGCATGTTCACTTCAACCGCTGGAGTGCACTTGGCATGTACACACTCCAGGTTGAAGTCGAGGGGGTATTAACTCGCGTAATAGACTGTACATGTCTGGCGTAATAACGCGTAATAGCGCGTAATGGCCGTAATAACGCGTAATAACGGCGTAATAACGCGAAATGTCATTCACTTCGGCACGCTTGTTAAGTCCCTGATACAAGGAGTAGTGACGGCTAGGACGCGGCGATACTCCTCACTACCCCTCTTCCTCGCTCTTCCTGTTCTTGCCCCCTCTACCCGACTGAACCATTTTCCCGCCACTTCAACATTGGCACGGTATGTGCAGGGGTCGGAAACGGCCTAGGGAGCTCGTGAGCGTGAGCCCACGCCCCACCGCTGCTGACGGGCCGCTCTGCACGGCGGTACTAAAATCGACAGAACTTTGTCAAATTTTCATCAAATCGATCAAACGAGGTCAGGTTTGGATTCTACACAAAATTTCCTTTCGATTATTAACAATGGTTTAGCGTTTCAAGTGTTTAAAACACGTTATTTTTCAATTTTAAGTCAATTTTACCGGCAACGGACAGCCGACTTGATATTTCTCATTCGCTTAAAAAGTGATTTTTGCTTTTTTTAGGTCCATACATGCAGCGAGCCGATTGTTGGCCATAGTTTACCCTATGGCATGGTGTGTTTGGAATGTTCAAACGACCGCTGGGGCGACCATAGAGATCTAAAACGTAACTAGGACATTTGGTACAAAACAGGGATCCTTAACTTAACTTAACATTTAACTAACACTGCTTTCATAACGTAACATAAGACAATGTTCGCTAAAGGTTAAGGGTACGGACTTGAGAAAGTACTTGCAAAAGTATATCCACACAAATTTGAGACATAAAAAAATAACTTACCCTTTTGAAAAGATGTTAGAAGTTAAGGGTAATAACTTTAACTCTTATCATAACGTTATGATGCCCTTATGAGGTAAGTTAAGCACTCTTAAAACCTTACGAAGTATTTTGAGCATACATATAACAAACTAAAATACTTTGTTATACGAAGAAATAGTTCGTAAATTACGAAGTATTTTCTTTGTAAGCTTACGTATGCTCAAAATACTTTGTTATACAAACTACTTTTCTTTGTAAGGCCCTAAATAGTTTGTAAGGTTTTCTCAGTGAGGATCCCTGGTACAAAATTGGGTTTTGCAACTCTAGAGGTTAAATGCACCGCTTGTAAAAGCGCGTTTGTCATGTTCTAAACGCCTAAGCCACCGAGAATTTTATTCTCTCTCGCACTGGCCCTGTGGTAAGGGTTTAGCGAAAGGAGATCAAACTTCAGATATCTCGCAAAAGTTCCGAAACACTACGATAACGCCAAGCAAACGTACAACAGAGCGTACAAGCAAACGATTGAAAATCTGACACCACCACGTTGTAGCGCGGACAATTTTGCAAGCCATAGTCTAAGTTTATCTCAATCGGTATCCGCTAATACTAGACGCGTAATAACGCGAAATACTTGCGTAATAACGCGTAATACTTGCGTAATAACGCGTAATACTTGCGTAATAACGCGTAGTACTAAGAGACGTAATAACTCGTAATAGACGTAATAACGCGTAATACAGGCGTAATAACGCGTAATACAGGCGTAATTACGCGTAATAGGCGTAATACTGCGTAATTGTAATAGACTGTACACCAAAATCCTGAGTAACTACCCCCTCGGTTGAAGTGTACATGCATGTACTCCCCAGGTAGAGCACACGGCCCACACAACGTGTTTTATCGTCTCAAATTACTGCGGTTTCCGCTTGTTAATAAAACTAAGATATAGTTCGTAGGTTACGCACAATTTTGCCCACAAGCTGGCATATGTTCAGCTATTGAACCAACATTTAGAACATACGCCAGCTTGAGTAGAAAATGGTGCGTGACCCACGAACTATATCTAAGATAGATCAGCTAACGTAAACTGGAGAAACTTGCTGCTTCACTTTAAAAGGCAAAGAAGATAGAAAGTTCAGAAGAGAGCAAAGCTTCAGAACAAACACTCACTCTTGCTGCTGAATCCGTCGGAGGCACGAACACCGAAGACGACACGAACACGACACCGCTGGCAGAGCACTTCAAGGAGCCGTCTCAGGTAACTGCAAACAGGAGGCAAGCGATCATTAAAACGTGACGGATTCACTGAGACAAGGATAGGTACTTCTGGCAAGGTCTGAAGTGTAGATCAAGAAGAACATAAGCCGGAGACAGCTGCCAAATGGCGCTTCATCATGATAAGTGTAAACCCACTATCTCAAGAAAGCTTAATTTTACGATGGAATTAGATTGTGCTTGCTGAAAAGGTCAATTTATTTGGAACTGTTTCCGGTTCCCCCCGCAGGCGAGGGGACGGAAGTGTGTACTTCTTTTCTTCCTCTTTTCGGAAAGGCCTATTCACACCCTACTTGAAAAGACTGTTGATCAAGAGGTTGTCTGGAGAATCTTGCAACGGGAGAACAACTATTAGTTAGCCCTAAACACGGCGAGCCCACTGCACTCGCGCACCGAGGTGTCAAGGAATGTCAGCGCATGAGCCGCTGGCAATGCTTCAATATATTCATCTTACGACTCAGGAATAAATGGAACACACTATACACTAGCATCATATATTCCAACGGGGGACGTCTATTGCGTACGGTGCGTTTAGGAGGGGAGAGGAATTCCGCCTGCGTAACACTCGGTGACGCTGCGAACCATTGGTTGGGCGGGCGTAATGTTACGCAAGACCCAGGCAAAGTGCGAGCACAAAAGAATAATAGGCAGTCAAATAGGGTAACAATAGCGGGCAAATTTAATAAATTTGCATAACGTTACGCTGGTAGCGAGGAAAGTGGTCTCGGGGCAGCGTAACGCTGTTTGGGCTCGGGTGTCGAAACGGTTTAAAACCCTAAAACCCCGTTCGTAACGTATCGAAGGAACGGCCACTGAATGGCAGGCGTGGTTTTGAGACCTTTACTTTCGGAGGTTGGAATCCATCCGTCAACCTCGCAGATCCGGAGTTCGGAAGAGGCAGGAATGCGAATGTGCGTTTTCGTACGGCGCTAATTCGACAACCGCCCGAAGCCTTACAACCACGTGTTCCTTCCAACAACTTAAACAGAATCAGCATTCGTCTACTGAAGGATTAAAAACATCCGGTTTGGGATACCTTAAAAGCAACTAGGAAACTGAACGTCAGTAGCAAGATTATTCTACTCATTGCAAAGATACTCTGAAGCGGAAGCTATGGCAGACCGGAAGAAGGAAGACCAAAATCAACAGCCCTAGGGGACCTCCATGTGGCCGGCTATCGTTTCCTCTTAACTACGTTAGACGTTAAATTGGGAACACCTCTCTGGGTGGTGATAAACCGACAGGACGAGGAACACGCACACGAAGTCTCCCTTGATCTATTCTATCTCCTTCACCACTTAATCGGACGACGCAAGGGAGTCTATTCTAACTTCTCATTTAATTCGCATTACTTAGTTCACAGTTTAACCCGAAGGTTTTAACGTAATGAAGGCGCCTGTTTGGTCAGAAATGCTGACTCTCGGATGCGACACAAAAAGGCTGTGTCACGAAGTAGGAAGTTTGGACAGTGGAAGTTCCTTGACATTCCACGAGGTCGACGTAATGTTCGGATGAATAAATTAGCAGAGGTCTGCTCCACTAGGTGCATTCGATCCCTCGGTCGATTGTTTTTTTACTCGTTCTTTACGCACCACTCACTAACATACAAAACTCTACGTGAAGAGAACGAGTAATGTGTTCAAAAATGAGTTTTGGGGGGGACATCTTTCATCTCAGATCTCACAGCATGTGGGAAAATGAGAGTGGTATCAAATGAAAGATGGAGTGTCAGTCGCTTGATCGTAAATGAACTTTTTTTTTTACTTGCAATGAGAAATATTGAGAAAATGAACATGAAAGAGAGACGTTTTAAGTGCACTATGTGAAACTAACCTCTTTTCACGTGTCTGTATCTTTTGATGTTGAACGCCACTGAAACGCAAAGTACAACAACAATGACACGAGATCTTTGGTCAACAAAAATCTAGGAGGGTTTTTTGCAAGTGACAATGGATAATTTTGAGAAATTTGGTAATAACGAAACATTGTTTGACCCTAACCATGATACATGTCTCAGAACTGCAAGCTGTGTCATCTTAATGAATTTCGTTTTGATGGTGTTGCACGTCTTATGTTCGAGATGAGAGATGAAATAATAAGTTTCATTTGACTGTTTTCTTCTGAGGGTTTTGGTCATGGAAAACTCAGGTTTTTGGCACGGACTCGCGGACTCTAGTGGTAAATTCGATTATGCACGAGAATCGATATCTCAAGATATCGCGATGCATCGATGTTCCCTGCCTGAGAGGAGAACCAACCGGAAGCGTTCGTTAAAAGGCAAAATTACAAATCGTCAGAGGACAATTCATGTAACGATCAGCGACTGACACATCAACCTAGCTTTGTAAAGAACGAGTCCCTCCCATGTGATATCAATTCTTTGATGTCTTTCCTTCTTGTTTTTGATGACCTCGGAGCCGTATGGCTTAAGTTAGCCAGGGGTTGAAAAGGGGCGGGGGAGTGAGGCGGGAGGAATTAAAATTTCAGGAGAGGGTTAGTGGCAAGGAGGGCAGCTGTGGCTGGCAGGGCGGTGAGGGGGTGATATACTATCGTGCAGAGACGTGGCAAGATCTGCTTTGGCCATTTCATCTTCAAAGGAGGCACGGTCTGTCATGGGGCAGGCATCGATGAAGTGGGCGGCGTCGGAGGAGGCCGCGGACCCGCAGGATGGGCACGGCATCCCTCGGTCGACAAATGCCGGACGTCGCGGCGCGTCGGCCAATCAGAAACCAGCTTTCTTGACCGGGAGGGCCTACTTCCACTACTGAACTACTATCTATCTCTGTCGGGTACTTTACTGAATCTGGAGACGACAGAAAAACGAAAGTGAACCTTCTGAGCAGGCTTTCTAGCATCAACCGGTACGCACGTGCTGAGGCCATTTTTAGGATTTACTTAAGTCCTTCCGTATCAAGATGTTGCAGGACCCAATAACCTATGGACGAACACTGAATCAAGAGACGGAAGAAGAACAAAGATGAGCCCTAAGAACAGCTAGCTACTGAGCAGGTGTTCTCCTACCACACTGTACACATGTGCCGATGCTATTAATAGGGTTTACTTTCGTTCTTCCGTACCAAAATTCCTTGGTTGTACCCTGTAAACCTATGAGCAAACATCGTACATTTTGACAGGGAACGATTGTTAAATACGAAACGTCTCGTAAGACGGATGAATCTCGCCTGCGTAACGCTCGGTCACGCTGCGTAACACGAGGTGGGAAAAGCGAAAGGAACGTTACGCAAAACCACTTAAGGTGTGATCAATAAACAAGAAAAATCAGTGATAAGGGTTACTATCGCGAGCAGATTGATGAAGATTGCGTAACGCCACTCAAAGCAAAGTCTTGAGTCAGAGAAGCGCGGCGTTAACCGCGAATTCAGGAACGTACTTTAGAATGACAACTAAAACAGACGAGAAAGAAGCACTGAAGTCTCTTCAGACCTACTCAATCCACATGATCACTCAAACGGTCAACGTAGGGGAACCCATTTATCAGGCAATAGGGTACTTCGGAGGAAATCCAGACCGGAAGTCAACGGCACAACAGGAGAAACAAAAGAGGGTCGCGCGGCCGTGCTGAGCGGTGGTGGGGGACGGAATGGGCAGAGTGGGGGTAACGTGCGCGCGCCGCCTGCCCCCCACTCCGGCGATTTCGACCCCCACCATCACCGCTCAGCACGGCCGCGCGACGCTCTTTTGTTTCTCCCGTTCTGTCGCGGACTTCCGGTCTAGGTTTCCTCCGAAGTACCCTATCTTACTTGATTGCTACTTGATCTCGTCAGATCTCGACCTACTTCAAGGTGTCTGATCAGTCCAGTACTTGGTGCTGCAGCAGGTTAGGTAGTGCATCGGAAACTCCTCTTCGGGGCTCGAGGTATAGTTCTGGTATTTCCATACCAACTCGTCTTTCCCTATTGATTTAAATCTGGTGACGTTTGCCAAATGCCCTTTGCCCCTGACGACGACGTTAGGGTTGTCGGAGTGATTTAACAATGAAGCTGGTCCTGCCAAGTACATATCATTGACGCATTGGCTGCGCAGACAGACGTGCCACCCGGGATGGGTTTGGGGGAGGCCACGCACTCTTATTCCCAACAGTTGAGGGCTCGATAGTAATCTGAAAACAAATAGAAAATAACTGTGAATAACTAACCAAGATGATTCAAATGTGTTGGTTTACGTACTGTTCAGTGTCAGGACCCTTTGGCAACAGACAAATGCCGTAATCACAAACTCTTGCAATAAACAAAGAGCTGGCCAAGCGATAACACTCATATAGGGTTTCTTGAAGCTCTTCGAAACCCTCTTTCGAGATCCCCGGTGTATCGGTGGGAGCATTGTGATGAATGTGAGAACATTGGAGCTTCCTACCGAAGAAATAGTAGCTAAAAGACTGGTCTATGTTCCAAAAGGTCATAATTTGGCTCTTCGAGAGCATACTCAAATTTTCTGAAATTTTGATTGTTCTCAAAGAACGACGGGTGGCTGACTGTCGGATAGGGCCCTGAATGACTTTGCCTTAATCGGAACCGGAAGTTCGTCGAAACCACGAGAGGTGACCGCCTTGAGTTCGGGTGAATGAATTCGCACTGAACGCACGGCGACGCAGACGCTCATTCTTACACATTTCGCACACTTTGTTCTCCTTGATTTCTTCTCAACTTCCGCTCCAGCTCTTCTCCAAAGTACCCTATGTGCTGGAGGCACTCGATCCTTCGCGCAGAATACGTGGAAAGTCGTGGCGCGTCAGCCCAGCATGAATGTGAGCCGGCTTGTTTCGGCAGGGTGACCTACCTTTTCTACTGAACAGTCGGTTCCACTTTTCCGTATCTTGATACGGTAGATCAGAAGTCAGCCCTCCTAACACCTTCTGCGCTTGCGCAGAGGTCGTTCCACCACCCGGTAACGCATGCGCAGGATTGATTGAAGGGCTTACTTCAGTAGCCTAACGACTCACAATTCTGTGGGATACCACATTTCTACCTTACATTCCGAAACCCACCGAAACTAAATCTCCCAGTGTGTGAAGCCGGTTCAGATACCGAAGGGATCCGACTCACGCAGCGTAATGGAGCTGCACCCACGGAGTTTCAGATATCTCGAAGGCGGTCTGGTCTTACTCGCGCTAGTCCTGGCGTAATGAGCTTCGGGGAGTCCGCTCTCCTTAAGCCGCAAGCACTCATTCGTTGCCGACTCGGATTCCCACCACCACCGCTCACTTTCGTAGCTGTACGACAGTACCCCAGGATTCTGCTATCCCCGCCCGCCCTACTAAGATCAGCAGTATTGTAACGAGTCGTAATCGTGAGTTGCGTTACCCATTGAGAAGGGGGGAATGCTGCCCTACCTCAAAAGCCGTTAAGTGATAGTGAGCGAAACGCTACGTTAGGTAAACAAGGTAGGTTTACGCCAGACCGCGTCTTGTCGTAACAGGCTTCGCGATGTCTCGCGGCCTGTTCCCCCAATCCGCGCCTGGCGTACCTACCTTGGCCTGCGGCGCTAGCCTGCCTTCGGCAGGCATTGGCTTGTCCATCGTCGGTTACTTCTTTCTCGTTGCATGCTGGGGGGCTCCGCCCCTCAGACCCCCCTTCGTTCTAGGTAGAGTTGCTTCATACAGATAACACGATCTTGATCCTTGTAACGTTTTAACTTGTCGGGACTGGGGGCCCCGCCCCCCAGACCCCCCTTTCCTCAAGACGTTAGTGATCTGCCTGCAAAAAAACTCGATTTTTCGCCGTTTTTTAGGTGTTTTTCGGCTATAAAAACTGAACCAGTTGAGCTAGGATAGTGAAATTTCGCGTGTGCTGAGCCGAGGATATACCTAAAAAGTGTGCGAAATCTCACCGAGATCGGCCGAGCCGTTCTAAAGGAGTAGTGCGGACACACACACACACGCACGCAGACAGGAAAAACTTTTCAACCCCACCCGAGTAACAGGCTTCGCTATCGCTCAGCCAATAACAGGCTTCGCTATCGCTCAGCCATTAAAGATCAGGGAAGACTTTTTATGGTAAGGAGCGGCGATGTAAAAATATAATTCGCATGGTGGAGTTCAGCAAAGAGGTTGGTGCGTCACTGAGGTGCAAACGGTATCTCAACCTGCGTAACGTCCTTAGAAGACGGCCCTCAACTTCGTCGTAGCTCCTGATCTAAGCAGTTGTAATTGACACGGGAGGGCAGTTGAGCGACGCCCAGGACCGGCAGTAAAAGAGTAAAAGTAAACAGCAAATCCGCTTGAGCGCCCACCCCACTCACACCTCACACGTGACACCCCAATCACACCTGGCTTTTCGGAATCTGCACATGGGGTCCCTTTCATTTTTGGCTGAGCGATAGCGAAGCCTGTTACTCCATTGGGGTTAAAAAGTTTTTCCTGTCTGTCTGTCCGTGTGTGTGTGTGTGTGTGTGTGTGTGTGTGTGTGTCCGCGCTACTCCTCCTGAACGGCTCGTCCGATCTCCGTGAGATTTTGCACACTTTTTGGGCATGTCCTTGGCTCGGCACACGCGAAATTTCACTATCCTAGCTCAACTGGTTCAGTTTTTATAGCCGAAAAACACCTAAAAACGGCGAAAAATCGAGTTTTCGTGGTTTTTTCTTTTGTAAACTCTGACTCTTGCGTTTTTGACAAATCTCCATTTGCTCCATTCATTTATTTAGTTTAAGTTTTCCCTGCAATCACTTTTCTGTTTCTCCTGCATTCTCAGCCGTTTTTACTGACTATTTCTCATTAGCAGAGGCATTTATGTAAGCAACCATAATACTTTGTATTTTAGTCAGTTTTACTTAGCAATTACAAATTACTGTACTGATATTATCGTTTCCTGTGTAAATTACAAAGAAATTTTTAAGTATTTAAGAATTAAATTGTCTGCTAATGAGAAATAGTCAGTAAACGACTGAGAGTGTGTTGAATGGTGAAAATGGAGCCATCCCCTTCTTCCGCTTCATGGATCATTGCGTTTGCATTAGTACGAGAAAGTTCGCAAGTCAAGAGCTGTGCGTATGAGACCACTTCAAAATTGTATCAGTACATTTAGTGTGCAGGTCCGTCTTATGATGAACTGAGTCCCCGGGGCAGATGGTGACACCTCCCGTCCGTTCTTCCAGATGGAGTGCTACGTGTGTTTGGAGAAGTTTGACATCTACTCGGCCGATCGCCGGCCCAAGGTTTTGCCGTGCGGCCACACCTTTTGCCTGCGGTGTCTGCAGGGGCTGCAGGCGAAGAAGTGCCCTCTCGATAACAAGGTGAGTGAGAAATTCGTAAGGCGCCACGTTTTGTGCCCACACTGTAAATGTCTGACGGTGAAAGGCTTCACTAATATAATGGTGGAGATACAGCGAATTCTCAACGGTATGTTATGAAGTCAGCTGCATTACCATAGTATGGAACATTTTCACCACAATATGGAGAATCTTCGTTGTACAACATTTAGAGTGCACTGTGGCAAAAAGCCACGGAAAATTCTGTAAACAGCTTGTGGTAATTTTCCGTAGCCCCCTTGTCAGTATTCTCCGTAGGCTCTTACAGTATTCTCCGTAGGACCTTACAGTGATCCCCGTAGGACTATATAGTCTTCCAGGTCCTACGGAGAAGACTGTGCGGTCCTACGGAGAATACTGTAAGAGCCTACGGAGAATATTGACAAGAGGGCTACGGAGAATCCTGGCAAAAAAATTAACAGAATTTTCCGTACCTTTTTGCCACAGTGAGGCATGGAAGAGTTCTTGGCTAAGTTCACTCAAAATGTCCTTCAGTGAAATTAGAGCCATGTTAGAGTGAATATCAGCATGTCATATTTAAAGGTTTCACACGTGCTGACAAACCGCGAAACGTCAAGACGGTCTGGCTTGCCTTGAGGGGCCCGGCACCTGGTGTGGGTTTCACATTGGGTGCTTCAACCTAACCTACCCCGAGCGTTCTTTTCCTGGGCCTCCGTTTGGCCTGTCAAAACAGGAGTCCTCGGGCCTCCCCCTGGCGCTCCCCTCCCCCACGCGGCTTGATCAAATTGTTGTTCGCTTCATGCTGCTCGCCGTCGGGGGGTCGTGAGGGGGCGCCGCCAGCCGTCAAAGAGAAAACGAGCCCTCTCCCCAGCCGCCGGGCATGTGTCCGGGGGCCGATCGGGAGGTACGTGGGGCTGACAAGCTTCATTGCCGTTCCATTGGCAAGTGGGCTTCTAACTTGAGTGTGGGCTTCCCGCTTGAGTGGCGCTCCGTTTTCGGTGCCAAAATGTTGAGACCGAAACACACTAAACCTGCGGGGGCAGAACTGTCTGCCAAAAGACGCAGCCAAGGTGAAGAGATGAATCAGCTTCACGTGCGGAAATTCTCTCAGGCATAAAGACAGGAACAGTTATGCACCCCTTACATTTGGCGTCACTTGATTCCAGAGTGTCCCAACATCCCAATGTAAATGATTGGATTTTTGTACACTGCAAATCCAAGTGTAGGACAGGTCGACACTTTAAGGGGGCTCATACAAGTTAAAAGCACTTTTTAAAAAAAAAAATTTGATGTAGACGGATTAAGATTTTACAATTTCTGTCTTAAAATCCTTTTAGATAATTGAGTAAGCTTCCTTTTGGCTTAAGGGAAAGTGACTTTGGACATTTTTTGGAGATTTAGTCGAAACGTTTAAAATTTTGCTTCTCGTAAGATTTTGTTCGCATACTTGCTCAGATCTGTGGGGAAAAAATCAGGGAGACTCATCCCCAGTAGTGTCATAGAATTGACTACAATGGGCTTTATATCTGCAATAGTTTTCAAGAAAAAAAATAAAAACAATTTTTTGTTGAAAAATTTGTTTAAAAAATTGTTAAAAAAATTGTTTTTATTTTTTTTCTTGAAAACTATTGCAGATATAAAGCCCATTGTAGTCAATTCTATGACACTACTGGGGATGAGTCTCCCTGATTTTTTCCCCACAGATCTGAGCAAGTATGCGAACAAAATCTTACGAGAAGCAAAATTTTAAACGTTTCGACTAAATCTCCAAAAAATGTCCAAAGTCACTTTCCCTTAAGCCAAAAGGAAGCTTACTCAATTATCTAAAAGGATTTTAAGACAGAAATTGTAAAATCTTAATCCGTCTACATCAAATTTTTTTTTAAAAAAAGGGCTTTTAACTTGTATGAGCCCCCTTAAAGCGTAGGACAAACTGGTCTACGCTTTAAAGTGTCGACCTGTCCTACACTTGGATTTGCAGTGTAGAAATTTACGTTTTTCAATTGTTTTTGGTCAGTATATCTCAGGACAATCCATTAACTGTTAATGATTAACATTACCAGGATTTTTGCTAGAATGTTGAAAGATTAACGAATAATTCCCTATTTATTCCTGATAGAGCACACAGGATTCCAGGAGTGGGTAGCGGCTACCCGGTAGCCCTTCGGCAGCATGTTTCAAAATAACCAAAGTGTCCAAAGTTAGCCCCTTTGACGGCAGATACTTAAAGGTTGTTTGCACTGTATGGTTTTTGTTCCCAGGTGTTCACGTTACAGCCAGACTCCTTACCGGACAATTTTCTGGTGATTCAGTCGTGCAGCAAGTAAGTATTCTGTAAGGTGTCCCGTCTGTGTTTGTTACACTCTCAGCCGTTTACTGACTATTTCTCATTAGCAGACGTATTTCTGTAAGCAACCATATTACTTAGTATTTAGTTCTTAAATACATAAAAGTTTCTTTGTAATTTACTAAGAAAACGGTAGTATCAGTACAGTAATTAGGAATTACTACGTAATGCTGACAAAAAATACTAAGTATTATGGTTGCTTGCAGAAATGCGTAAGCTAATGAGAAAAAGTCAGTAAAAGGCTGAGAGTGTAAGTCGAACGTGGTGAATTTGCCCCCTTACCGGGATCAGGTTTCGGCGGTTATTTCTGTGCCGCGTTAAGGACGCAAATTTTTGCATCATGAATGTGACGCAAGGGGGTAACGACTCCTCGATTTCGTGTCAGCTGGGTTACCCCTCGGATTACCTCTGAATTTCACTGCGAATTCGCCTAAATTTTCTCGGGTCTCTGGATAACTGTCCATGCACTGTCAGCTGGATTACCGAAGTCGTTACACTGAAAATCCAAACGCTATGAATGTAGCGTCAATTGGTGCAATGCAAAAGCATTGCACATGAAGTGCAATGCCTTCCCATTCCCATGCATTAGCAGTGGGCATTTTCGGGGCGCATTGCACGTAAGGCGCGATATGTCAGTGCATTGCACCATACTTGCTACACTCATAGCGTTTGGCATCTCAGTGTACCGGTATGACGTCACGTTCGTTGAACACGAGTGTGCGCTTGCAGCGCGGCCGCCGCCGAGACCGCGGCGTCCCGACTGTGGTGCCGCACCTGCCAGCGCCACGCGACGGACGACTGCGTGGACGGGGCGCACTCGGTGTGCAGCCTCAAGAAGGCCCGCGTGGAGGACGCGCGGCCCCTCGTGGAGGCGCTGCAGCGCGGCGAGGCGGCCCTGGACAGCCTGGCCGGCATGATGGACGCCTCGACCCGCGCCGTGGAGGAGTCCAAGTGGCGCGCCACGCTCAAGCACGACAAGGCCGTCATGGCGGCCGTCCGGAGCAGCCTGCAGGACGCGGAGAAGGCCGACACCGCCATCTGGGAGCAGGCCAGGCAGGCCGCGGCACGGGCCGGTAAGGACGATTCACCGAGGGGTGAATGACTCAGCGTTCTGGTGTGCACATGAGTACGGGTGAATGCACCTCCTAACACTCATAAATTTCACATTTTAAACGTTTTTTGGCTTGTTTTAGCGGTCAAGTCGACACTCAACGCCGAATCGTGCAAAAACTGAGCGACTTTTGCTCTTTTCAAACTTTGTGAGTACACTGAGTACGGGCTAATTTGTACACATGAGTACGCTAGTGATTCACCCCTCGCGATTCACTCACTGTTCACACCGTCATACTCTCATTCCAGGAACGTGACATTAAGTGGAAACGAATGTGACACAGTTCTCAAAGGAACCTGACCTATTGTCACATTCGTTTCAACGTGATGTCACGTTCCTGGAATTAGCGAGTGCAGGGAAGTCAAGGGAGTTATGTCAGGGGCTCTAAACCTCGGGGTAACTTTTGGTCAGGGTTAATATCCGAAACGTTTGTCGCAGCATGGATTTTAAACGCCGCTTGGGTGTGAGCTCAAATGCGTTTGGCTCCGGGAGTGCACTTTTAACTTGATTTTGAAATGAAGTCATGAGACATGAACTTTCGCTCCCAGGAGAGCATATTGCAGTATAATTCGATTGACAAGGAAGAACGCGTCTAGAGATACGTAGTTCAGTTTCATGATTAGTCCCAAGTTGAGTCACAGAAACGTGGATGATATTTTCATCACTTTCAAATTATGTCAATCTCATCACAAATTGATGACATTTTCACCAAAGATCTGATACTTATAAAATGGACGTAACAAGAAAGTCTTCGATTATGTTTTGACATCTTTGCAAGGAAATTAAGCTTTGTAATGGTCATCAAGTGGCGATTTAAATTTTCACAGTGTAATGCGCTTCTTTTGACCTTAGGTCGAGCCCTGTAGTTCAGCTTTTGACAAGTTAAGCGTATTTATTCTCAACAGCATGTTATTTGCCACCCTGTTCTACCACACCTCCTCCTCCACCGTCCTTTGCCTTACTGCTGCTGAGAGGTTTTTTTTTCCTCGGTGTGTCGCAGACAAACTGCGAGGCGCGTCCAACCTCGTGAAGGATCCTTCCACCACGTGCAGTCTCTTTGTGCGATCCGGCGCGGGGGCCCGCGTGGTGTGGCGGGGCGACGTGGATGCAACTTTTGGCCCTGTCAAGATGCTGCTGTGCCATCTCGCGCTCCGTGGTGAACTCAAACAACCTGTACGGAAGGAACAGGAGCAGCAGGGGACGGTGCAGCAGGAGATGCAGCAAACGGAACAGCAGCCGCTTCAACAGCTTCTAGAGGAGAACATGCAGCAGAGGCAGCTACTGACTCAGCAGCTGAGACAGCTGACTCAGCAGCCGACACAGCAGCTGACACAACAGGCGACGCAGCGGCGCATATTGCTGATACAGCCACCGTCACAGCAGCTGACTCAACAACCGACACAGCACCAGCCTACACAGAGGCAGCTGACACAGCAGCAACTGAATCAGCTGGGACGGGTGCAGCAGCCGCCTGGGCAGAACCTGCCGAATCCAACGCAGCAGCAACCGCCGCCGTCAACGCGGCAGCCCGTACTGCAGCGACCAGCGGGAATAGTGCTCAATCCGCGACTGCTGCAGCAACTGCGGGCAGTGCAGGAGCAACCGACGCAGCAGGAAGTTGTTCAGCCCCCGCCGACGCTGCCGAAACCGGCGAACCGTCCTGCTGGTGGGTACATTGAAAATTTTTTCTGTTCACATACTCGACTCTTGTGGACTTTTTATGCATGATTATGCATAACACAGATGAGCGATTCTCACGTTTCGGGGTAGTTTTGGCGTCTCTGAATTGCCGAAAGTGAGAAATATCCAATTAAGTTTTTCCGATTATTGGGGTCCTCGATGATACTAGAGTTATTGGCAATGGTATTTATGGTAAAGACCTTGTACTACCTTCCTAAAATCATGAGCCATAAGGTATTCCCATACGTTTTAGTGGGTGTTTTGATCACGGAAATTACGTTATCACGGTAGTTACAAAGTGTAAAAATCGGCTTTAACGGCTGACTCGGGCTTACTGTGGCTTAAAAAACGTTCCAGGGTCAAATGATACTCTAAGCCCGACATTTACGCGGAAAATTTTTTCACCTAGTGCTGCTGCAACATTGGGTAAAGGGTGCCACGGAAGTTACAGGTAATTGCGAGGGGTCGTCAACTCCCCTTGGCCGTGTACGAGGGAGTATACGTATATTTCCAGTAATATAGGTAATATATGTGTAATATAAAGTAATACAAAGTAATATATTGTAATATAGGGGTATTATAGAGGCGAAATTGTGGTAATATGCAAGTAATATATGGTAATATACAGGTAATATAGCCACCGTGTACGTAGTAATATATGAGTTGCCGACCCCTCGGGTAATTGTTGATACACGCCATTTTATAATGCTCTAGCCCGCTTTGAGACCGTGTACAGCGTCTTAGATTTCCGCGACCCATGCAATTATATCCCAGGGACTCCACTTTGGGCTTGTGTCATGGAAAGTTGAAAGTTTGGCTTGGGGAGAAGTCCAGAGCTGCCTTTTCGAAATTTGTGTAGTGAAATTGAATATATGGTGGACATTTTTCGTTGCAGCATAAGTACCTTTGAAAGAAGTCTGGCGTATTGGTCTTCGGTTGAAATTAGCTCGAGACATGCCAAGCTTCGAATCCCTGTCGACAGTTGGAAGCATTTTCGAACCACACCGCCACACTGGGGGCGTAAAGTTCGAGTGTGTTCTCTTTGGACAATCACGGAAGTTACATTTAGGGTATTCCAAACGATACGTAAACCAATCCAACGAACGTGAACTTTTCGAAATGTGTGCGTTTAGTGGGCAATGGCCCTCCCTAACATCAGAAGCAAACCCCATGTCGATATCTGCGCTCGTTTGGGCTCAGGAGTCAGAAGAAACGAAACTACCCCGAAACGTGAGAATCGCTCAGATACGTACTTAGAGTAAAATATTATGAATCAATGTGTACATTTGATCCAGGAAGCGGAAGAAGGGGATAAGTCAAGTTGAATCCGTGCACTTTTAAAAGGCCTAAACCTTGCAGGTGGGAGAACAGGTGGGGAATGTCGTCTAAAAATAGATGCAAGAGGATGGGACTTGTCTCACCACACTTAATTTTGGACCAAATTTTCGCTAACGTTTACTTCATAGGCTGATAAGAGGTCACTGAATCAACTCGAATTAACCCCTTCTTCCGCTTCGTGGATCATTTTATGAATGCATACAGTCAGACGCAGTGTAAAATATTATGCATATGTGTGCATTTTATGCAGGAAGGTCCGTATTTATGCCTAAATTAAAGTCCACAGGAGTTTGGTGTGACAAAGTACGACAAGGGCAATGGGCATTCCCGGCATTACACAGCATACCCATGACGGCCCAAATCGCACTTCCTTACAACTGCCCAGCAATAACAGCCTCAAATTGTTTACAAAAAAGAAATGGAAACTGTGGTTGTTAAGTTTCAGTTAAGACCATGTGAAGGGGAGATTCTGGTGAAAATGCTTTTTAGGCACGAAGTAGCCTTATAGTATGCCCAGGATTCAGCCGGCCCGAGATTCAATTTGTGTGGCCCTTTATGCATTTCGGAAATTTTCTTTACGATTTTAATGAGACTTTGCAGACTTGTAGAACTTTGAACGCTGATTCTCATGCTGAAATCTGGTTAAAAAGTTGGTGGCCAATTTTGAGAAATTTGCTGTCAAAATCGCCGTTTCCATGGCAAAACTCGACTCGTCAAAGGAAAAAAATACGATTTCAAGAAATCATAGGAGTCACGAAGTCAATTTGGGTAGGAGTGTGGGGAAAGCAAAAAAGTTATGTAAAAGGTAGGGGGTGGCTCAAGGGTGGCTACGAATGGCAGTGGTACCAATGTGGTCGATGTGCCACCCGTCAAAATTGGCAATAAAGAGAAATCAAAATGCCGGGAAATTCGAAAAATTCCAATGCTAATGTGTTCCACAGTGATCCGACAAAGGAACATCTTTGAAGTCCATCATTATGAAAATTTTGGTTGCAGAAAGAAGGCACTAAATTAATTTTCGCGGGTTGGCAACAATTTTGTCGGCGTCTGCGCCCTTGCGAAAATCGCGAAGCTGAAAACACGAGTATAGTCGCGCATTAAAATCGCCCCTCCATTGTTGCTGACGTTGAATTGTTTGGCTTGTTTCAAAAGGCTACGGTTCTCTAGTCATGTTTTCTTCAATTCTGTGTAATAGTTCTCACTCACAACGTAGCAACACCACGACGGTTGGCTTGACAAACTTTATAAACTCGAGAGGGATGGTCTCGAAACGCGGGTGAGTCTTGTTCGAAGAAAATGAGCACTGAAAGTCGCGAGGTGGAGCGAAGTGATGGTGCTAACTGAATCAGAAGTACCATCAAACCTGGCTAAAAGGAGCAGCTATATGACAAGCTTATTCAAAAAGAGACTAAAAGTCTTAAAGCGACTCTTAAACTACATTAAGGAAAGATAATTCACAGATGCATGTGCACAGGTACGCAGTTAAATGGCTCAAGTCACTCCGATTTGAAGAGTAACAAAAATTTTCAACAAAACAACAGCAAAAACAACAACGCAGCGCTGCGGGATTGGTGCGGGACACTCTCATAAAAAGTCACTGGCCGGCCGGCCGATCCAAATGGCCACGTTCGAAATGACACCAATTCTATTGTTGCATCTTGTCTACCTGCAGTCAAAAAAATTTTTCATTTCGAACGTGCTATTTCAGCTTTTGGAGTAAGCTGTACAGACCCTAAAAGAAGCTCCGCTATTGGTCCGGCTCGGCTCGGCTCCCCCCACTCCCTTTTTTTTCCTTTGACAAGTCGAGTTTTGCCACGGAAACGGCGATTTTGACAGCAAATTTCTCAAAATTGGCCGTTGACTTTTTAACCAGATTTCGGCATCAGAATCAGCGTTCAAAGTTCTACAAGTCTGCAAAATCTCATTACAATCGTATAGAAAATTTCCGAAATGCATAAAGGGCCACACAAATCGAATCTCGGGCCGGCTGAATCCTGGGTATACTATAAGGCTACTTCGTGCCTAAAAAAGGGAGTGGGGGGAGCCGAGCCAGGGCGGACCAATAGCCGAGCTTCTCTTTGGGTCTGTACAGCTTACTCCAAAAGCAGAAATCAGCACGTTCGAAATGAAAAATTTCTTTGACTGCAGGTAGACAAGATGCAACAATAGAATTGGTGTCGGTTCGAACGCAGTTTTTCGGGTAGAACTATCCAATAATACTTCTTGATTGGAGTGTTTTTGGACATGCGCAGTAGGTTTGCAACCTGTTTAACAGTTTAACCAACTGTAGCATTTGAAATCTGTATTAATTTTGCTCTCTTTCTTGTTTTTTCTTTGTTTCCTGCTTATGAAAATTCATATAGAACAAATTTTCAATTTTTGTGCGATGACTTTCCAAAAAAATATTCACAGAAAATTAGCAATACAAAAGTTCTTTTTTTCTGACATATAGTTTCTCAAATATTCCTTTTTTTTCTGTCAATAAAACAATTTTGTTGTTGTTGTGATTCAGTTAGCACTAGGACCACTTCGCTCCACCTCGCGACTTGCAGTGCTCATGTTCCTCGAACAAGACTCACCCGCGTTTCGAAACCATCCCTCCCGAGTTTATGAAGTTTGTCAAACCAACCGTCGTGGTGTTGATACGTTGTAAGGGAGAACTATTACACAGAATTGAAGAAAACATGACTAGAGAACCACAGCCTTTTGAAACAAGCCAAACAATTCAACGTCAGCAACAATGGATGGGCAGTTTTAATGCGCGACTGCTGGTGCTTTCAGCTTCGCAATTTTCGCAAGGGCGCAGACGCCGAGAAACAAGTTGCCAACCCGTGAAAATAAATTTACTGCCTTCTTTCTGCCAAGAACATTTTTATAATGATGGACTTTAAAGATGTTCCATTGTTAAAACACTGCGGAATACATTAGCATTGGAATTTTTTGAATTTACCAGCATTTTGATTTCTATTGTCAAGTTTAAATTTCGACGGGTGGCACATCGACCACATTGGTACCACTGCCATTGGTAGTCCCCTGAGCCACAACTTCACAACACCACTTCTTTTCTTTCTTCACACTCTTACACAATAATCAAATTGACTTCGTGACTCCAAGGATTTCTTGAAATCGTATTTTTTCTCCTAAATACGTCCCACTGTGAAAATTTGTTAAAAACTTGATGTCTTACCAAGTAATTATTAAAATTTTTCAATGGGGAGGCACATTCTGTGCGCTGAACCCAGTCGCAGGGCCTTTTTCTCCTATTTAGGCTGTAACTTTAAAAATCCTCTTGCGCATACTATTTTGTCGTAAAAGGTTGTCCTTGACATTTTTCACCTCTTTGATTTATTTTGAAAAAATGGCGGCATGCAGAACTCAAAACGTTAATTACATTTTTATTTGCAAGCTTTCTTACCAAGCATTTCACTATAATTGACCAAAAATGTACAAAATAGACAAATTTTAGGGACTTTTCAGCTTAAAAAGCTTACAACTAATAATGTAATGGAAATTTTGAGCTATGCATGCCGGCATCTTTTCCAAATGAATTGAAGAAGTGAAAAATGTCAAGGTCAACCTTTTACGACAAAATGGTATGCACAAGAAGATTTTTTAAGATACAGCCAAAACAGGCTCCAAAAGACTCTTCGACTGTGTTCAGAGCCTGGCATGTGCCTCCAAAAGTCTAATTTTAGTCTCCTCGAAGAAGGATTTTATATTCCGAACAAATTAAGACAGTGGGATCCATTTGGAAAATAGCAAGATTTTCACCAGAACCTCTCCTTTATTGCGAGGGGGTAAACACTCGTGTAATACCCTGTACTCAAAAAACGTGTATTACACGCAATACCCGTAATTGTATTACCATTTTTGGGCCAAATGTGCCAAAGTTTGGCATTTTTGGCTGAGCGATAGCGAAGCCTGTTACTCGGGTGCGGTTGAAAAGTTTTTCCTGTCTGTCTGTCTGTCTGTGTGTGTGTGTGTCTGTCCGCACTACTCCTCCTGAACGGCTCGGCCGATGTCGGTGAGATTTTGCACACTTCTTGGGTATGTCCTTGGCTCGGCACACGCGAAATTTCACCATCCTAGCTCAACTGGTTCAGTTTTTATAGGCGAAAAACACCTAAAAAACGGCGAAAAATAGAGATTTCTGCAGATAGACCACTTCTGTCTTGGAGAAAGGGGGGTCTGGGGGGCGGAGCCCCCCAGCCTCGACAAGTTAAAAAGTGACAAGGGTCAAGATCGTGTTGTCTGTAGATATAACGACTCTATTTAGAATGTAGGGGGGTCTGGGGGCGGAGCCCCCCAGCATTCAACAAGTTAAAAAATAACCGACAACGGACAAGCCATTGCCTGCCGCAGGCAGGCTAGCGCCGCAGGCCAAGGTAGGTACGCCAGGCGTGGATTGGAGGAACGGGCAGCGAGACATCGCGAAGCCTGTTACGACAAGACGCGGTCTGGCGTAAACCTACCTTGTAATGCCGTAATACACGTGTAATATCCCCGTAATACCGAGTACTATGTACAAGATTTCTTGGAGTGTTTACCCCCTCGGTTCATTGTTAGAATTATCAGTTTTGAGAAAGTGCGTCTTGGACCGTTATGGTGCATTGCATTTCTAAACGCATGCTCGATTTGGTGCCGAGCTTAAGATGCATGAAAAAGTACAGAGTGTGTGAGTGCTCTGTGCCGCAGTCCCGCGCTGGCTGGAGCGCGCCAACGAGGGGGAGCGCGAGCTGAGCGAGGCGGACATGGCGGCCAGGATGGACGTGGGCGCGAGGGTGGCGCGCGGCAGGGACTGGGTCAAGGGCTGGACCTTCGACGGCACGCCGCCCGGCCCCGGCACCGTCACCGCCAAGCACCAGGACTCGGACGTGGCCGTCCGCTGGGACAACAGCATCACCTCCGCGGCGTCCTGCTTCAGCATGGGCCGCTACAACAAGTTCCACCTGCGGCTGCTGGCGCCCGCACCGCTGGTGAGCGCCCTTCTGAGATCACTCGTGTTTAACGCCACTGTAAAAAAAAATTCCGCACTTGTGTAGGGAAACGGCGCAGAAAAATATAGTACGGAGGTACGGAGAAAAGTACGGAACGTTCCGTACTTGCTCCATTTGAACCCATGTAAATGCACATTAAATGTCATGGGACTTTTTTTGTCCCACGGTTTATGCAATTTTAAGCACATCCGACGCTGATACAATTTTGTTCCCGTCTGGTGACACATTTTGTCCGGCGCCAGCTGCAACTTGTACTTTCACTAGACAATTTGTCCTGGCTGGCGGACACAAAATTGCATCACCACCGGATGTGCTTAAAATTTCATAAACCGTGGGACAAAAAATGTCCCATGACATTTAGTGTGTGGGTACGGAAAAAAGTACGGAACGTTCTGAAGTTGGCAAGTACGGACGTTCCAGGCAAATTATTGACCAGACATGTTCCGTACTTTTTCCGTCCTTTTTTCTCACAGTGACTGCGAGTTCTTTTGTGCTAAATTTTGTGCTAGATTGAGCAAGAACCGACTTGTGCTTTGTACACAGTTAGGAGTGGCTTGACAAGTACGCACTGCAAATCCAAGTGTGGGACAGGCATGCACTAGATGACGTGGGACAAACTGTCCCACGATAGTAAGTGTGGAACACGGATTTGTCCCACGCTTGCAAACGTGCGACATTTTGTCCCACGTTATCTAGTGCATGCCTTTCCTACACTTGGATTTGCAGTGCGAGTCTTTCATTTGTTTCTTTCCACAGAATGACACGAAACCTCTGCATTTTCACTAGTGTGCCCCCTTAAGCGTTTTCGTTCGTGGGCGAACGCCGCCCCCTTTCCTCAAACGGCGATGCATTCCTTGTGCACCGTGGTACGAAACGGCTAAAAATGCGTCAAAAATATTTGAGCGTTCCAAAGGACTTCTTGGGCCATAAAAAAGTTAAAAAAGTGTCTCAAAGGTGCACCGGAGCTATATTGCCAGTGTAGGGTCGCAAAAACCTCAAAAAACGCCGAAAAATGCCGTTTTTGGGGTCTTTCCCTATGATTAAAATGACTTCTAATTCGAATCCGCACTATCTCTTAGCGCCAAAATAAAGCCTAAAATGTGTACTTTGAAACCCTGACAGCCCTTAGGCGACCAGACACCCGGGATTTTTAATACACGCAAATCAAGGTAAAATAAATTGTCTGAAAACCCGAAAAAACGACTTTTTTAGGGCCAAACCCGTGCAGATTAATATCAATTGCTGTCAAATGGCAAAAATCGCTGACAAAAAGACTCTTTCACTCATCGTGAAGTAAAGAACTATAGTATTTAAAATGGCAGGAACCAGTAGCGCACCAGCGGCTATCACTGTAAACAGTCGAAAGCTGAATCCTGGTTGGTTACAAGCGTAGCTCTGGACGAAGCTCACTGCAGTGGCCGCTAGGTGCCGCGCAGCTTCACTGAGATTCCGAACGCTATGAGTAAAGCACGTATGGCGCAATGCAGATGAGATATCGCACCATACGTGCAATGCCATTAAACGTCAATTAAATGGAAACGAACACTGAAAATCCAAACGCTATGAGTCTTGCTATGAGTATAGGGGAAGTTGCCAAAATTGTGGGTCCTTTTGTGTCTTTGGGCCACAGTTTCCTTATTTTTCAACGCATCGACCTGCGGTTTGATTCCCATGACTGGGCTTCATCTCCCCTGCTATCCCACACACTAACCGAGCATGCAGTTCAAGCATTTCCCTGTCAAAACAGGCTAAAACTGGCCCAAATGTAACTTCCGTGCTGTCCATTGTCCAAAAAGTCCGTGTTCCAAGGCGAAAATCTCTTGAACTATTTGTCGGAGAGCAAATCCGCGAACAGCCTTTTGTTCCGTTGGCAACCCTTTATGACACCCTTGGATAGCAATTTATTCCAGTGACTCTTACCTCCTGCTTTATTGGATGAAAAAATGTCCACCGTGTATTAGTTTTCAAACATCGTAGGCTTTAGTTTCGCGCCTCAGCGCCGAACCTGTAGCGGGAAAAGTTCGGCTCAACGCCCAGAATCAGCAGCATGGTTTCCTCTTTCCAGCGCGCTAGGCGGATTTTCGCTGGAGGGCACCATTCTGGCTAGCTGGACCATCGAAGGTAAAAATCCGGCATGTGTCAGGTTTGTGTGTAACATTCCGTGTCATCAATAGCAAGCTTGCTACTCGGCCTATCGATTTCGGTCCACCAGGCCATTTTGCGCTTTCACGTCTTTTAAACTTTAGGCGAGACACCTGTTCGATTTGGTGAACGGGTTGGTCCGTTTTCACGGTTTGTTTGATGATGTAACTTCCGTGCCATGCACATTTTCGGTAACTTCCGTGCCATTCCCCCATAAAGTATAGGGGAAAAATCGAAGAGCGAGAAAATACTGGCCTCCTTCGGAAATGCGTTTAGAATGACCCCTAGAATACAGGAAAAATACTAAAAAAAAATTAGAACGAGATATTTTTTTCATTTTTTTCGGAGCCAAAAGGACCCACAATTTTGGCAACTGCCCATAGTGTCAATTGTTGCAATGCAAAGGCATTGCACAAGCATTGCACTTGAAGGGCAATGACCTCCCCCCCCCCGCATTCTCTTGCATTAGCAAAGGGCATTTTCGGGACGCATTGCACGTAAGATGCAATATGGCTATCGCATTGCACGTATGGTGCGATATCTCAGCTGCATTGCGCCATACGTGCTTTACTCATAGCGTTCGGAATCTCAGTGAAGCTGCGCGGCACCTAGCGGCCACTGCAGTGAGCTTCGTCCAGAGCTACGCTTGTAACCAATCAGGATTCAGCTTTCGACTGTTTACAGTGATAGCCGCTGGTGCGCTACTGGTTCCTGCCATTTTAAATACTATAGTTCTTTACTTCACGATGAGTGAAAGAGTCTTTTTGTCAGCGATTTTTGCCATTTGACAGCAATTGATATTAATCTGCACGGGTTTGGCCCTAAAAAAGTCGTTTTTTCGGGTTTTCAGACAATTTATTTTACCTTGATTTGCGTGTATTAAAAATCCCGGGTGTCTGGTCGCCTAGGGGCTGTCAGGGTTTCAAAGTACACATTTTAGGCTTTATTTTGGCGCTAAGAGATAGTGCGGATTCGAATTAGAAGTCATTTTAATCATAGGGAAAGACCCCAAAAACGGCATTTTTCGGCGTTTTTTGAGGTTTTTGCGACCCTACACTGGCAATATAGCTCCGGTGCACCTTTGTGACACTTTTTTAACTTTTTTATGGCCCAAGAAGTCCTTTGGAACGCTCAAATATTTTTGACGCATTTTTAGCCGTTTCGTACCACTGTGTTGTGTTGCAGAAACCTCACGTTGGAGCGGAGGAGGGAAAGGACTTCTTCGACGTGAAGAGCATCAGCCCCAAGTCTGATGAAAAGATGTCCAAGGTGTTGTCCGGCAAAAGCCTCCAGAAGGTAAGGTCGTTTTCAATCATTTTCTAGCACCAAGTCAAGTACATTCCTATGTACACACTGCAAATTGGATGGAAAGTCTTCGCGTCAAAACATGTTGATACATTAGGTCTCGCTAAGTTTTGGTTTGACTAGAGTCAAAATTTGGTCCGACAAGAAAAGTCTCGCCGGTCAGACGCAAAAGTCTCGCCATAAAATGGTCAGACGCAAAAGTCTCGCCATAAAATGGTCAGACGCAAAAGTCTCGCCACTAAATAGCGACACTTCTGTGTCCGACCACTGTCTTTCGGCCGCAACCGTCTGGCGCATTTCGGCTTTTAGGTGGCAATCGGACACTAAAGTCTCGCCATGTTATGCCTGACTTTTGTGTCTGACCATTTTGTGGCGAGACCTTTTGGTTTGACCAAATTTGGCGAGACTTTCAGGTCTGACAAAATCTTGGCAAGACTTCATATCTCCCCTCTGGAGTAGCGAGAAGTCTCACCTTTGGATTTGTAGTGCATGTATCAAAAACACACCATGGCTCTTGTCGTGCAACTACATTCTCCGTTTTGACAGATTCGTTTCCTGGTCGGCCTCCCCTGCCTCACGTTCATCACCTGGAGCCTGAAAATGCTGGAGCAGCTCTCGCCGCACCTGGAAGGCCTGCAGATGGTGTCGCCCATGCAGCGCCACCTGGACGTGGTGCTGGCCATGCCGCGTCTCCAGGCGCTCACCGTCACGGACGTGACCGCGGAGGTGCTGCGGCAGGTGAGACTTGCCAGTCATATCCCATGGGAATTCGAATCAAAATCCCCATGGAATTTGACCACCGTCTACACTTTCATTCCAGGAACGTGACGTCACACACGTTTGGTTGAGCATTGTGTCACATTCGTTTGAATGTGAACAAGCTACTTTACTGCTGATTCACATCGAAAGGAACGTGACACAATGCTCAAACGAACGTGACACTTTGTCACATTCGTCTGAACGTGACGTCACGTTCCTGGAATGAGAGTGTACGAAGAAGGTAATTATACCGTCGAATTTGGTTAATTACCGGAAATTAATCGCATTTTGCCCTTGATAAAATGTTAAACTATACGGTGACCGTGTATCGACCGGTTAAAGCTTGCCTCTCTAATGTACGATGAAGTGAAACTGTCTCGTGGGCATTGTATGAGCTGATTTGTTAATGGACGTTACGTTCTAGATGCTACACGACAAAAGCGGTTCCTTTTTTTCGGTCAGGAACTCCTTGGCCCATAAGGTACCTTGGAGAACCCGGAACCGTGTTTACCTTGAGAAGTAACCCGTTGATCTATAACTGTTAACATGTAAAGTGTTTCAATTCTCAGACAAATCACCGTAAAATATCGCATTTTTTCCACGGTTACTGCACTGCATGAAATAACCACAATAAAAGTACTCAAATTTCCGACAATTTTTTTTACGAATTTATTGTACTTTTTCAAGTACAACAATCATTGTTGTACAAAGTACAATGGCCGATTTCACCAGAGGTGGCAGCAGTGAAACAAAAGACAGTCGGTCCACAACAAACAGACGACAAACGCGCACAAATGACCGTTAAAGAGGCCATTTTGTGCGCGTTTGTCGTCTGTTTGTTGTGGACCGACTGTCTTTTGTTTCACTGCTGCCACCTCTGGTGAAATCGGCCATGGATCCGGCATGACGAGTGGCTGTGGAGTCCAGGCTTCGTTGTGGTTTGTACAATTCTCGTTGTACTTTCCACAATCCCTGTTGTACTTTTATTGTACATTTTTTATTGTATTTTTATTGCACACTGGTAAAACTAAAGCGTAACTCTATGCTTACAAGCATCAAGTGTCAAGCCTAAAGTTACGCTTGAAATCAAGCCTAGACTAGAAACTCCCCTGCATTAGATCGGGGGAATTGGCAGATGAGCCTGTTTCGCTTGATGTCAAGCGTAACCAGATTACGCTTGAAAACAGAGGGTAATACGACGCTTTGGTTTTACCAGTGTACTATCCACACCTTTTCTTGCAGTGTGGAACGTTGAATCTGACCGATAATTTGCAAATCTCCAGGTGAGCCAGATGGCGTCGCTGCGCCGCTTGGAGGTGCACTGCCCGCTGTACGCCCAGCTGCCGGTGCTGGCCTTCCCCGCCACGCCCGCCAAGCTGCAGTGGCTGCGCTGCGGCGTCTACCCGCTGGTGACGGCGCTCGCGCTGGTGCGAGTGCACGCCGACTCACTGGAGGAGTTGGAGCTCGTCGCCGCGTCCACTGCGCCCTACGGCTGCCCCGACCTGGCGGCCGAGCTGCGCGGCTGTGGCCTCAAACGCCTCAGGAGTCTGGTGCTGTTGCGGGAGACGGCCTACGGGGCGTTCTGCCGGCACGACAAGAAGACCTGCTCGCTGCAAAGGCAACAACTGTCCCGGATGTTCGCCGACAGTGGCGTGAATGTAACCGTCACGTGCAGCTTTGACTGAGCGGAATTCTGCTCGAGAATTGTCATCATGCTGCTCCCGTCGTCGTACCACATTTTCAGAGTGTGTTTCCTCCGATGGTCTCTATTTTAGTTTTTGCTGTGCATACCTGATTTATGACGCCCCCTTTTGTCACACCATTTCGTCAAGGACTGATCAAGGTCTGAGTATAGAACCGTCTAGGAATAATGATTAGCCTAGGTCGAACGACATTTTCAGATTTCGTTTCTTTTGAAGGTCTCGATTTCAGTTGGCACTGCATGTGAAGTATGTGCCACCTGCTGTTTGACGAACCATTTTATCGAGTTGCATGCAGTTGTATTATGCAACTGTGTTTTGTATTTATGCTTACTAATGATAACTTTATAACTTACTGATGTTATCGTAAAACCTTCCTATCGGGCGATTTTTTCCCTGTGAAGTAAAGATAATACGGCATGCTGAATTTATCTTTGACGAAAACTTACTGATGAACCAGTATTATTTTCTATTATATGTAATTAATTAAATAAGAGCACGCTGAATTTTATTTCTATGGACACTAACAGGATGTATTTTGTTTTATTCTTTGCAGTGCACGTTGTAGTCAGCAAGGTAGTCAGCTTGCCACGTGACATCCTGTAATGACTTTTTTTTTTTACATTGTTGATTCAATAAATTAAATTGCGGACACCATTCAAAGGGGCTAGGAGTGTTTATTCTGCGGTTATCATCCACTTCTGCATAACAGGGCAACACAAAAGCTGGAATGAAAATAAATTGTGCATCGCTTCAAGCACACCAGGGTTCCAAGACGAAAGTTGTGCTCTTCTCTCCAGTCTCAGAGATTTAAGGTTGTAACCAGATAAAAGCGTTTGTATTTGTTTTTATTGCTTGGAAACGTAATGCTCGGCATCGACGTCGGTGGGGATTGTGCGTTAGAGTGCGGAGACGATGGAAAGGGCGAACGTTGGTTGGCCTTGACAAGACACTTCACTTTCAACTGACAGTGTAAGGTGTCTCAACTTCATTCCCACTTTGTTTTCGTCGCAGCGAAATGTCTAGCCGACACACACTCCAATGCACTCTCAGAAATGGTCCTTGCCAGGCATCGCCGATCTTTTGGCGTTTTACCAGTTTGGTTTTTGCCTTCGAAGTGTCTGCAAAAGATAAGGGGACGTCCATTAATTTTATCATGCCAGCCTCATCCCATAAGAACTCTCTAGACGCAAGAGGGTCATTCTATCAAACGCTACCATTTGGCCTTTTGAACTCTGAGACATTGAAAGTTGTCCCACTTGGTTCATGTTGGGTTTGTATTGATCGTCTTGGCATGCACAATGTGAAACAGCATAAAGCGTTACGAAATTCAAAACAAAAATCAAACACTAATTTTTTATGGACTTTTTAAATGAATAACTACCATTTAGTTATGCATGCACAGATACGTTCATAAGGCACGTATAACATTATGCGTCTTTGTACATTTGTACTTTGCACATTACAGTGATGCATAATATTATACATACCTTATGGACGTATCTGTGCATGCATAAAAAAGTCCTCAAGCATTTAGAGCACTAAATTCTTCACATTAGAGTGCGCCCTAAACCCTCTTTACTTTGAAATGCAAAGGGAATAGTTTGTGAAAGTTCGTATTGGAGCTCAGAAATCTGATTTCAATTGGGTCAGGAATTAACTTGGGCACTAATTATTTTCTCAAGTCCAGAGCTACTTCGAGGTTGTCCAGTTAAGCACGGATCTTGCGGACTTCCGTGCGGATTTTGCGGAAGTTACACCCGCATGCGGATTTTGCGGTTTCTCCTTAATTTTGGGTGTGGGAACTAGAAAATTATGTCAGGAATGAACGATTCATCATTTTAAACACGAATTCGCAGCTCACGCGAAGCGGAGGACACTATTAAGTCGGTTTAGGCATTCATCTCTGGTTTGAAGCAGACGATCCACCAGCTCCAAGATGGCCGCCGTGAATTCGCCCGTCACTTGTTTCGTTACGGCGCGAATGCGGGCGAGCGTCAAATGTGCGTGAAAATGGCGGATCTATCAGACGAAGAGTTTTGGACTATATTTTACAATGTCATTCACACCATTGAAATGGAGTTTACGTTGTTGGAACAAATGCTTTTGGGTAAGAATTTTTCTCTCACTCTCAGGTGACTAAGAATTGAAACGTGTCTTTTATATTATTGTATGTTTTAGATGATGATGATGATGATGATTGGGAGGTTAACGCGGCCTATGTGGAGATGGCTCCCTTCCGTGAGCTAGAAGAAATTATGGTGCCATTAATGCAGATGAACATTTTGGAAATGGACTTAGAGGAGGACATCCTTATTGGACTGATCTGTAAGTAGATTCTACTGTTATCTCACAGTTCCTTTCTCATATCTGTATGAGTCATAATATATCGGTTGTTTTTAGATGGTCGAAATGATCGGACAATAGACTGGCGTGCCAATTTGCCAAAGATGCAATACCTCAGGGGAATGGAGGATCCTTACTTTAGTCAGCACTTCCGCATGAATAGAGCAGTATTCGAGGTAATACTTATTGGAATCACATATTCATAATTTTAGTCGGTTTTGAACTAAATGTTTCTTGCTTTCTTTCAGAATCTTATTGTCGTTATGGGCAATCATCTCACAGAGCAGGGGAGGCTCATTAGACTGCGAACAGAAATTGACAAGTCCCTGCTGATGGCCCTTTGGATTTTGTCCACAGCGGATACTTTCAGGTCCACTGGCGTGCAGTTTGGAGTTTCTAGGGGTACAGTTCACTTTCATTACCTCGTAGTAATTGAAGCCCTTTGAGAACTAGCTCCAAGATACATCAAGTGGCCATCATTGCTAGAAAGGCAGAGGATCAAGCGAAGTATTGAAGCTCGCACTGGCTATGAAGCAGTTGTAGGATTAGTGGATGGCACGTTAGTGAAGATAACAGCTCCTTTAATCCAAAGAGAGCGATACTTTGACAGGCACCAGTCATACTCCATGAATGTTCAAGCTGTATGTGATGATAATTTATTATTCCGCGATGTGTACCTTGGAGAGGCTGGTAGTGTCCATGATATCAGAGTATTTGAAAGAAGCCCACTGAATGATATGTTTCTAGAAAGAAATGATCTCATAGCCGAAGATGAGCACATACTTGGTGATGGTGGTTATGAACTAAGAAGAAAGGCAAGTATTATTTTCTTCAAATTTTTAAATGAGATTTGAAGGTTTCTCTCTAACTTCCGCTGTGAAATTTCAGCTCATCATACCATTCAGAGACAATGGTGTTTTGACTCGGCGACAAAGGCGCTTTAACTACGTTCATTCATCAATTCGGATGTTCATAGAAAGGGCGTTTGGAAGGCTGAAGGGCAAATACCGAAGACTGTTTTACCTTTATGTTAAGACATTTGCATATGGCATGGACCACATATTATCAAGCTTTGTTCTGCACAATTTTATTTTGTTGGAAGGAAGGGAATCGGTAATTATCAATGAATAATACTGTAGCTTTGCATAGACCTTGTACATATTACACTATTATGATCATTGCAGGATGGTGTTTGCTTCATGCAGCCCCAACAACCCAACCACAACCACCAATTCAATAAAGATGATAACTTAGAGGAGGAGAACGATGAAGACATAATGAATGGGAATGATGCTGACGGTGAAGATGTTGCTGGAGGCAGAGCTGGTTATCAACATCCACTTCTAGCCCAGTCTAAGATCGCTGGTCACGAGAAGAGAGAAAACATTTCCCATCGTTTAATGGAATTGCTTAATGACAGGGTCTAATTTTAGGGAGTATTCTACTTCAAAAATCTGTGATATATACCATCTGTGTTCAGGCAAGTGACTGTAAAGAATAAGTTCTGGCATGATATTTTTTGATTAACAGTGAACATGTTTATTTCCAACTTTTCTGTTGGTGAACAGCTGTGTAATAATTAAAGTACAGAAAGCATAATTAAAAATTATAGAGAACAATCTTGAAATGATCAAAAATAAAAAGCATGTACATTGAATACATATAAATTACTGGTCATTACCTACCATACAAACCGTGGGAATCACCACTTAAAACAATAAATAAAAATCAAACATTAAGTCACATTGATGCACAGGTACATTCGGTAAGGAATCACAAACTGACTTCTGACATCACATAACTACTCTAATCAGTCTTTGAGGGTAGCAGAACTACTTACTAAGAATCATTATTTCCATTAGTTCTTTTCTCAGCAATTGCTCTAAGAGCATTCATCATTTCTTTTCTACTCTCCACCAGCATCGCAAGCATCTCCTTCGTTTCTTTGTTCTTTTCAGATTGAGCTGGCCTTTCCCGACCAACTCTCTGATTGTTGACAGGTTGAACTACCAAACTGTTGCTGGTGGAAGCCACTGCTGCACCCACAGCGTAAGTCTGCTGTGCCTCCACTGAAACCATGCTTTGCAATATGGGTCGCAGATCCTCATAAAACTCAAAGGGTCTAGGCCTGCCTCTACCTGTACAGTTCAAACCCTTTGAGTACGTCTTGTAGGCATCCTCAAGTTCACTCATTTTATTTTTGCATTGTTCTGGTGAAAAGCTATGCCCCCGCAAAATCATTTTTACCGAAACTTTTCGGTAAAAGCGGCTATTTTTGTGCACCTTCCAATAAACTTTCCTCAAGTCCTTCCACACATCGATGAGAGAGAAGACAACAGCTGTAGGCATAACTGCACCTGAAAAGGTACGTAAAAGTTAGGAAAATTCCTCCGAGTGTCAAATGCATCCATTTCAGCTGAATATACAGTACCTTTAGTGAATTTAGCTGCCTTCAGGACATCTTCTTCATAGCAGTCCTCATCCGTCATTTCATCTGTATCAGGAAACACAGCATTTTTTTCGCCTCTTAAATAGGCTAGTTCTTTGCTGTATTCGCAACAGGGATTACGCCTGTATGCCTCATCTAAAGACTTCTTCTTCCTTGCAAGTTGAGGAATTGTGGTCTGAAGACTGTAATCCTCAAGCAAAATTTTTTGGACATTTTCCAGATTAGTTTGAGTGGCTTTAAAAGGAACCTTATTACAACATTTGTAACAAGCTCTTAGGAAGGCAAGGGTGCCCATTTTGCTGTCAAGGCTGCCCACTTTTATAGAAGGTTTCTCTTCGTGGTCACTCTCTTCGTGATCACTCTTTTCGTGATGACTCAAATTTTCTCTTTCTTTTAGCAGAGTCACAGTAATTTTGTTAGCCAAATAATGAATCTCTCTCAGGTCAGCTACAGTATTTGCATGCAATTCAGTTCCAAACTAAAAAAAAAAGAGGGAGAAATGGTTAGATTAAACACATACAATGCAGGTAATTCAGCTTTAAAAAAATGTGGTGGTTACATGCCTCTACAGTAATTTCTTTGGCCTCCTTTGAGCAACCATCAGTATTCATTATGAGATCATCCCCATCACTTATTTTGCCACTACTCAAAAGATAGCTTTTCAGAGTCGCTTGCAACATGAACTGGAACATTAATCACACACCATTAAAAGACTGCAATGAGAAAATTGAAAAACAAATGAAATAGCTTTTACCTCTTCACAGCCATTTGAGAAACCACTAAGAACAACTTTCTTATTATCTTCAGCATCTCTGATTGACCTCAAATGATTTCTCAGAAGACTCAGAGTGATTTTATCTGCCAAATAGTGAATTTCTTTGAGATCTGCTGCAGCAGATGCATGCAATTCAGTTCCAAACTAAAAAAAAAGAGGGAGAAATGGTTAGAATTAAAACATACAATGCAGGTAATTCAGCTTTTAAAAAAATGTGGTGGTTACATGCCTCTACAGTAATTTCTTTGGCCTCCTTTGAGCAACCATCAGTATTCATTATGAGATCATCCCCATCACTTATTTTACCACTACTCAAAAGATAGCTTCTCAGAGTCGCTTGCAACATGAACTGGAACATTAATCACACACCATTAAAAGACTGCAATGAGAAAATTGAAAAACAAATGGAATAGCTTTTACCTCTTCACAGCCATTTGAGAAACCACTAAGAACAACTTTCTTATTATCTTCAGCATCTCTGATTGACCTCAAATGATTTCTCAGAAGACTCAGAGTGATTTTATCTGCCAAATAGTGAATTTCTTTGAGATCTGCTGCAGCAGATGCATGCAATTCAGTTCCAAACAAAAAAAAAAAGAGGGAGAAATGGTTAGATTAAACACATACAATGCAGGTAATTCAGCTTTTAAAAAAATGTGGTGGTTACATGCCTCTACAGTAATTTCTTTGGCCTCCTTTGAGCAACCATCAGTATTCATTATGAGATCATCCCCATCACTTTTTTTACCACTACTCAAAAGATAGCTTTTCAGAGTCGCTTGCAACATGAACTGGAACATTAATCACACACTATTAAAAGACTGCAATGAGAAAATTGAAAAACAAATGAAATAGCTTTTACCTCTTCACAGCCATTTGAGAAACCACTAAGAACAACTTTCTTGTCGCATGGATCATATTCAGAAGCATTGGAGGGGACTGGTGGCTCTTGCAGTTGAGTCACAGTGACCCTTTGCCCCAGGTACAATATCTCCTTGAGATGTGCTGTAGCTGTGGCCAGAGTTTCAGTTTCAAACTGAAATCACACAATATTTTAAAAATATACATGCGCCTAAAGTATTATTTTTCAACAGCTGACGTGGTCAACACTCACCTCAACAACCACCCCTTTCAATGCTGGGTCAGGTCGAACATTGATGAGGAGGAACTCATCTGTTCCAATAGTACCTCTCTGATACAGATGACTCTTGATGGTAGCTTGCAGAATGAACTGAAGTAAATAATATACATCAGAAATAACAAAAGTAACAATACTTATTGAATATAATAACATAGAAAAATAAATTTACCTCTTTGAAGTCTTCTGGCAAGTTGGTTAGAATAACTTGTTGATTCCGAGGGGTACGCAGCTATGAATAACAAACAAAGTTCAAGATTAGGACATCAGGAAATAAGGAAACAGGAAATACAAGAACTGCTTTTCAAATCAAATAATTACATTATAATCGCTTCTCGGAGATTTCCTTGTATTGTTATTGTCATCACCTGATTCTGGACAAAAGAAAAACAAGGATTCAGCTACTTCCAACGAACAGTCAGTTGAGAGAGTGTCTTAAAAATCTTCTAACCTTCATCAAAAGTCAATGCAGAAGCTAACTCCTCTTCGTCATTGTCGGTGGTCAAGTGTGAAAAGCTTTCGTCCAAATCGTCATTATGGCCGCTTCCCTCCTCTTCTTTACGGCCCCGTTTCGCCGCAGGGCTTCTGCAATCTGTCGTTCATAGCAGGCAATATAAGACAAATGCCAATTAGCGTTAAACCCGTAAAAAATCAAGGCTCTTCAATACTTGCGTTACCTTCAGCTCCAGTGGTGAGGTTCATAGTAGAATTTACGCTCGGCTCAAATGTGCCAACACTTGGACGGGTCATTACGGGTAATCCACCATTTCTTTTGTGTTTCAGCAGTGCCTGGTAACACTTAATGCCATCTAGAATGAAAGACACAGATAAATGTAGTGGAAAGTACGATTATAGTGTAAAGGTAAGGTCAGGTCACACAAGAGAACTTACCATTCAAATATAAGTGCTTCTCTCTTTTCTTGATACGTATCACGTAGGTGTCAAGACCATCTTCAATGGAGAAATCCATTTCTTCATCCATGATGGCAATATAAATAAATATAAATAACGTATCTGCCTAAATTTGGCCTCGTCAAACAAACACTTCTCCATCCGCGCGCGCTTTCCAAACAAACGAACATCACGAACATTGACGCATCGCGCGGGAAATGGCGGCCATCTTGCGACAGTCGATTGTCTGCTGTTCTGAGAAACAGTCACCGTAAACCGACTTAATAGTGTCCTCCGCTTCGCGTGAGCTGCGAATTCGTGTTTAAAATGATGAATCGTTCATTCCTGACATAATTTTCTAGTTCCCACACCCAAAATTAAGGAGAAACCGCAAAATCCGCATGCGGGTGTAACTTCCGCAAAATCCGCACGGAAGTCCGCAAGATCCGTGCTTAACTGGACAACCTCTTCAGCACTGTGACCTGGTTAAAAAATATCCAAAATGATCTGGTGGCAATATTTAAGGGGGGCGTAAAGTGAAATTTCGAATTTTTTCATGTCTTTTCAGTCGTCTTTCTTACATATTGGTCTCCCTGACATGAAAGTGGACATCACTATTGGATTCTCCATGACTTTTTACCATCTTTGGTAGCGCGTCTGGTGGCACTTTTTGAATTTTCGCAAACATTTTAGATTTGGTCCATTTTAGGGTTTTGATCCTTGCGCGCAGGATTTCAAATCCAAATGTTGTCCTAAAAAATCTGACGAAGTTGCAAAAAAATTTTATGGTCAAAATGAAGAAGACAAGGGAGCCGGATTTCAGAAACATGTTTTCTTTCGGTCTTAATCTTGAGAACTAGAATCATGACTGTTTTTATGCCGCTTTTGGACATTCATTGACCTGTAACTAAAGATTGAGAAACATTTTTGTCAAAAACTCTCCCTTGTCTTCTAGCTATTTGAACACTGATCATTTTAAGCTATCGCACAACTTTCTACCTCTTATGGTCTCCGAGATATCCTGCGCGCAAGGTCTAAAAAAGAGTTACCGAGAAAAACCGATTTAAAGTTGGAGGGCCTAACCTAACCTCACAGTGATTGTACGAATTAAAAGCTCCCTATGCCGATTTGACGGTGCTGTGGGTCGAAATGTGGTCAGGTTTGGTTGTACCAAGGCCCAAAGAGTCGACAAAAAGCAAAAACCGAAAATCGATTTTCTTAACTTTATCCCCCCCCCCTTTAATTTAAGC